GGGGTCCTCCTACAATACGGTGGAAACATTTTAAGGGATCATCCATCTCGGTCGTATTGAACACATCAGCTTTTGTCGTCGGTCGTGTCCTCCAATAACTTCAGAAACGACCCTCCAAAGGCATCGCGGCGCAATCCTATGGATTCATAAAGGACCTAACCGCAGTGAACGAACTTGATAAAGACATGCTCTCGATCACTGCCCAGAACTGCATTACCCAATCGCAGACAGTCACTTAGAAGCTATCGCAATTGAGGAATCGATCGGCGTAAAACAAGCTTTCGGGAAAAGGTCGTATGTATTAGGGAGAGGGTCTTTATTTATTAAAAGCAGTGATTTTAACCCGTTAGTTGTTCAGTGATCCAAGCTGCTGAGCACAACGTAATGGTATTTTTTATCTATTCATTTCTTTTCAGAGCAGTTCGTCACATTTCCCTCAGTGACAATGCTTTGAAACCCAGCATCACTTTAAACAACAGGACGTGCTCTTCACTACGACGTTGTCCGCATACGCTAAAGTTATCGGAGTCATGGCTCCGATAACTCAGGACATGCCGCCAAACATAAGCTCATGTGCGGAGTTTTTGTTGAAGGCAAGCTGCACATCTCAATTATTGTTGATTTCTGTTGACACGTTGTAAACGAAAACAATATCGAATTGAACTATGGTACGCAAAACGAGAACATCAAGTGACCGAGTTACACATTTTTGACGGTGCAACCTAGCACCTGGCTATGCTGTCCCAGCAGGCGGTTACGTCGGATTGTTGGGGCACGATCATGGATCTCGCAGTTGCTTTACCAAGCTTAGCCTACCCCATGTATACCCCTACGCTCGGGAGCCCCCGATACCCTCATCCATCTCCTTGTTGGTCGCTCTTATCGGTCGGCGACAAACTGACTCGAACTTACTTGATCCAGCCGTTTAGAATCCCAACTCACTGCTCAGTTGGGTTCTCAGAGGTTCCGCCCTGATCTCCCAAGTAGTTCAGACTCTGCCTTGCCAGCACAACACACCGCCTTCTTCTTGTACAGCACCTCCCCATTCTGTGGCTGACTGTTTTCAAAACAAGTAGTTCAGATAGCCTTCGGCCCATCATACTCGTACTCGTGCTTGTTTGTCCTTCGAACATACATCTCCACCAATGTGGATCATCGTGAGCCCTTGGACACACGTTCGGACCGTTATTCTCCACCATTCCTCCGTTCGCGGTTGCTCCGGGGACTTCCAGGGGCAGCAGCCGATTCACATCCTCAACTTGGCTTCAGATCCGGATTATGCGACCTGGCTAGACTCTGCTTGTCCCACTGGTCATTGCACAGTTGCTCGATGCCTTCATTAAATATTCCACATCGACGTTGTGTCTCCAACTAATCCCATGTAGGTTTTGCAAGCGTGTCCGTCCGATCGACGCGTATCTGCCCATCGAGCCCTGTCACCATCTCATTATCGAAATGGCATCTAGTCAAAGCCCACTCTACGTGGATGGGAATATCTGGTCGCCTATCCAGGTATCCTGATCCCTTTTTAGCTCAACAAGCTGAAACAAAATCTTGCGCCAATGTAAGCCAATTCGCAACAGTTAAAGATGCTGACGAATATCGCAAGCACGCCCGTGTCAAGAGGTCTTTTGGCGCGATCGGCGAATTGAACTTATTCCTAAAGACTACCACCGCTCCCCTGGCCAGACATGAACTCCCACGGTGTATCCATCATGTGATCAAAATGTACCAACAAAAAACCCGAGAGTCACAAAGATTTCCAGCAGGGTTATTGTGGCAGCAACGACGAAGGTGACCTTCAGAATGACCTTTGTTTTGGTGGAAGGGACTAGCTTTCATTGAGCCCAATTTATGGATGCTAGAGACGGAAGTAAGGTTGTACCGTGGCCGTTCCTGCTGATTTCTGTGTCGTTTGTCTTGGAGAGGGGGGGTAAAGCACAATGTAATGGCCTGGGATGTGGAAAACCGTCGGATTTACTGTGTGTGGCGTACCGTAATTATGCGCGGAAACCTGATATCGTGGTCAACGTACTACCTCCTCCCTTCATTGCCTATGCTGCGGTCTATTGGAGGGAAACATGAATGAGGCTCGCCAGCATCGCCGACAGTTTGCCAATAATCTGGACGCTATGAGGAGTGCGAAGACATATTGAGCCCCTCCAAAACGGTGATCATGTGGACTTGCAGCATGTGGTAGTAGCCTTATCTGCCATAGGCGTCACGTCGCTGCTGCGCTCAGCGATGCCCCCGACCAACAGCGACTTCCAGCACAAGAGTTCATGGAGCGCGAGCTCGCTGGCGCAAATCGGCGAGCATCAACGCTCATCCAAGAGCGACCTTGTGTAGTTGGAGACGCCAACTTATTCCGGTGCTGGCGACGACCGACTTCCGTTGAAACGATGGTTTTGAGAGATCGACGTCGCCATCGCCTCAAGACTGATCAAGGCGCCGTCGGCGAAGGTCAACTTCCTGCTCTCCCGGTCGTCCAGGAAGGCCAAGGAATGGGCTCTCTAGCTAATTGATTGACGACCCCAATGCTTTTCCCACTCTAGAAGCGCTCCAGAGTGACCTTGGACTCTCGTTTGAGCCACTCCAAGGTGAGTTTCGAGTTTGTGCCGACTTCGGTGTCCTTATGCAAGACACCATGTCCATTCCGTAACAAGGACGACGTTCTTGTCATCGACATGAACTACGCGTTTGACTGCATCTTGGGCATGTTGTGTCTATCGAGGTATCAACTGGTTGGCTCGGTCATTCAATCGTCGTGGTGACTTCGATGTAAGCAAGGTGTTTACACACCTCCTGGTCGCTCAGAAGGACTGGTCTCACGTCCCCGTCGTAGACAGGTCGTCCAAAAAGCGCGTTGTGCACAGAGCGAGCTATGGCCCTCTAGGGACGGCTTGCGCAGCATTACTACACGACGATGCCTTGTCGCGATGCGAAGTTGAAGACCAACCCGCGGTCGATCATGGGCTCCCGTCGGTGAAAGAGATGGCGGTCGAGCAGGGGCTCTTGCCAATTGAACCGGTGGTGGAGCTGTTGGCGCTCCTGCCGAACGGTACCACGGTCGATCAGGATCCTACTTGTCTAGGCCAGATCGGACACGGTCCTTCGTGCCGAGAGGGTGGGGAGCCTCTCGTCCAGCTAGAAAAATTCCTCGTCCTCATGTTCGCACTCGAGGAAAAAGAAGAAAGCTAAACGTCGGCGTCTGAAACCCCGTCGCGAGCTCGTGCCAAGCCACAGTGTCAGTCTGCGTTCTTGGATACGTGAAAGGAGCATCCGGACGCCGACGCATAATCGAGCTTGCAAACCCACCCCGAGAAGCGCAGGCGATCACCTGGCTTCCTGGCCTCCCATGGAGAGCTTCATTCGCGACCTCAAGTCACCGTGTCATTGAACAGGTCTGCCTGATGACCGACGCTGATTCAGCGTCTTCCGAGCTGAATATTGTCAGTGATAACAGCACCTCGCAGCCGAAGAGGTTGAACCGAAGTCGGCACTCGAGGAGCTCTTCGCACCGCAGTCGTGGGAACCGCTGCGTGAGTCAGACAGCCCAGTGTACGAAACAGCCCTTGAAAACGTGGACGTTTTTCAATACAAAATTCCAGGTGAGCTGCGAGCCGATCGAGGCATTAGCGACGAGGTCGATCTCGTTCCCGGCTCTAAAAGTTGTGTGGCGCGGCAGAGACCACTGCCACAAGATCAGGTCCAAGGCATTCGTGAGTTTTTCGCCGAAAGTCGGGTCACGTCCGTGAAAGCACTTCGCCGCATTCCAGTCCGATGTTTTGCGAGAAGCCACGAATGGCTGATACATTTTCGTGCCTTCAAAATACTAAACAACACAATTGTTCATCCCGGCTCAAACGCCAATTCCGTAGCGAAGGCAACAGCGCCATCTTATTGACTGATGGGTTCTATCAACTCCTCATGAGGCAGAGCGATATATCGGTCATGGCGGTGAGTACTCCCAGCGGTATGTTCTGGGAGTGGTTTGTTATGCCACAAGGATTGAAGAATGCTCCAGCTACGTTCACCGCATAGTATCCCATGTGCTTCACTCACTCCGCGAGTTACGTCAGTGGCTGGGTCTGGCTAATTATCTTCACAAGTATGCAAAGAACTACGTCTGACTGATCCAGCCGCTTTCCTCGCTGTTGAAGAAAGATGCGGTATGGTCGTCCACTCCAGCGCATCAAGACGCCTTCGACTCGGTGAAGAAAAGCCTAGCAGAGGCTCCAATTCTTGCTCTCCCGGATGACTCCAAACCTTTTCATGTCGTGTGCAACGCGAGTGACTTCGCCATCGGCTGTGCGCTGATGCAATTCGACGATGAAGGTCGCGAACGAGTCGTGAGTTTCTGGTCCAGGCAGATGATGCCGGCCGAGAGGAACTACCCGGTCCATGACAAGGAACTTCTCGCGATGAGACACGCTCTGATCAAATTCAGAGTGTATTTACTGGGTGAAGATACCTTCGCGGTGTATACCGATCACACATCGCTGAGGACAGCGATGGAGAGCCCGCATCTGTCCCAACGGATGGCTCGCTGGCTCTCGTTCTTCTCTGAGTACAACTTCGTGGTCCACTACAAGCCCAGCAAGATCAACATTCTCGCTGACGCTTTGCCTCGGCGACCAGACTACGACCCACGAGATTCTTTGGGTCGACAAGTCTTGCTCGATGAAGACGATGTTGATGAATGCGCCATATGTCAAACGTCGGGATTAAACCTGACGAACGTCTCCCCGGAATTACCGCTTCGCGACGAAATCCGAACTGCGTACGACCACGATCCGACCTACTCCAGTATCCTGGAGCATCTCCGCTCTCCCAGCGACGATACGCTGAGAGCGCTCTCGTGATCTATCCGGACTCGCATCGACCGGTTTGGTCTCGAGGACGATCTATTGACGTATAGCATCGACAACTTCGATGCTCCTCGTATTGTGGTTCCCAACGACTCCGACCTGCGCTCACGGATCATCCATGAATTTCATGATGCCCCGCTCGGCGGTCACCTGGGCCGTGAGAAAACGTTCGCAGCCGTGTCACGCGATTTTTATTGGCCCCACCTGTATAAATGGGTACGCAAGTGGGTGCACACCTGTGAGATCTACCAACGCGTGAAGCCGTCTTCGTCGACGCAGGCTCCGCTGTGTCCTCTCCTAGTGGCCACCGAGGCCTGGCGCTCGGTGTCGATGGACTCCATCTTCGGCCTTCCACCTGATGCCCAAGGTCGCTCTGATCGCTTCAGCAAAATGGTCCATCTCATTCCGGTGTCGGACAAGGCCACCGCGGCCGATACCGCGGTGCATTTTATCGATGCTGTCTTCCGTCATCACGGCCTTCCCGAATCCATCGTCTCTGACCACGACCCGCGCTTCACGTTGGTCTTTTGGTCGAAGCTCTTCGAGCTGTTGGGGACAAAGTTGCTAATGCCGACAGCAGCCAATCCGGAAACGGATGGTCAGACCGAACGTGTGAACCGTGTCCTCGAAGATGTTCTTCGAAGCTACGCGGCATCCTTCTCCAGTTGGAGCTCGTTCTTGCCTCTGGCAGAGTTTGCGATTAACAATGCGGTACACGCGTCGACCGGCCTGACTCCCTTCTTCGTTAACAATGCGCGTCACCCACGAGTTCCAGCTCTCCTCGCTGCGGGCCATCCCACGGTGCCGTATGTCTCCACGCTCGGTGAGAAAGAAGCCGGGTGTACATCTGACATCACCGACAGCGACATCGATGCTGAGCAAACCGGTATCCCTACCGGTTGCCAAGGATCTTTCGAGTGTATCCTCTAAGGGCGTGTCGGTTAACGCGGTGACGCGTTCACAGGTCAAGAAGATTTTATCGACGCCGCGTGGCGCGGCGTCTTCTCCCGTATCCTGGACTGATCACAACCTGATAAACCCTGGTGCCCAATCGCATGTATTCCCGCCTGCCAACTACGCGCCGAGACAAGCGGCGCGAGCTTCCGACTCTGCAGCTGTCACCGACTTCGTGCTGCAACGCCAAGCGATCATTCGCTATGTACATGACGCGCTACAATTGGCGGTCGATCAGCAGAAAGAAGATGCGGACAAACGCGGCCGCAAACACACGGCCTCTTTCACGACAGGAGAGCGAGTACTCCTGTCGGCTGACGGTATTCGGAACGCTGCGGTAACTAATCGCGGCGCGACTAAACTCGCACCGCGTTTTATTGGGCCGTTTACGGTGCTCAAGGTCATTGGTGATGCCTACACGCTAGACATTCCTGCTTCGCTACGACTACATCCTACGTTCTACACTAGCGATTCAAGCGTGATGGTAAGTACCTTATCCTTAGCTGCTTTACAAGGTATGTTTACCAGCGAACAACATTTTTAGCCTGAATCATTCTACAGGGTAACATGGTAGCGGCATCCAAGGCTGTTTGCGGCCTCTCTGCATGATTTCCAACCGAGACGTACCGAATCATTGTCGTTCCAGTATATTTAAAATTACACTGAATTTTTGTCGAGATGCGGAAGCCTGTTTTTGCTATTATCAGTTCAAAACCAATTCATCGCATGTTGTCTCCAAAACGAATCATTCTATCCAAGGCATCGCCTACATCTTTGGTGAGTGCTCCAAACACGAGGCTATACAAAAATACCGAAAACGAGCATGCTAAACAAACACAAACAATTCAAGCACAGCGCAGTAGCGGTGACTGCTACATTACATGCTCTACTTTATACGAGAAGTTAACCGAGCGCTGCTTCGGATACCGGTATTTCGCGCTCGTTCAGCACTGACACAATCATCAAACAGTCTTTCTATGGGTCAATCGCTGCGGACAAAACAGCATTTATACACGTCAAAATGCAACTGACACACACAAAGTCTGTGTGTCACACAGATAAGAAGGAGGGGGGGATGGGTCGGGCAGAGAGAGACCAGGAGAGGACGTGTACCATACGGTATGTCGATCTATTCCAAGGCCCAATCATCGGCTGATACTGTGAGTGACACCCAGCCTAACCTTCCAGCCCTCACAAATCAATTTGAGGAGACAAGGCACAAGCCCATACAACACGTATCAAGGCGCGGCGTGCCGTGGCCACTGCAGGGCTGCCCCCCTCCTCCAAACACACACTGACGACGGACACTACACGCGGATACTACGCGACGTACGGGTGTGGATTCATTGCTACAAGGCTTGTGCGGGGCGGGCTGATGACTAGTCCCTATAGTCATCTAGTCGATGGCTTTGTGGCCATGAAAAAAAACTCGTAACAGGCAAGGTTACCAAGACTTAGGGCTCGACATTCTCTTAACTGCTGTTACATTTTACCTACTATTGTGTTTCTGTTATCTGCTTACCCTTCTTCAGCCTCCGTTTCGATTTATGCTGACAATTTACCCAGAAGTAGTCACAATGAAAATGGATGAAACGAAGCGCGAAAAGAACCAACACTGTATTGTATTTCTTTATGGTTCTGTTTCTCAATCAGTGCTGAGGAAGTGGTCATTAGTCCATGGAGCTGACGGAATCTGGAAGGTGACTCGGGTGAACTTTTGACACAACCATCCTGAGCGCATGGATTTACTGAGCAGCCCGTAGCTGAGGGACTATCGCTCGCTCCGCACAGGCCAAGAGAAATACAACGCTGTATGTCGCGACTCTCACCCATGTGATTGAATCTGAAATGCTACCGCGTTACGATGGAAAAACGGACAAGATGACAGGTTCAGCAATCTCTCGGTTTTTATTGAGAAAGGGCAATCGAGTGGCATGGTCGTCTGCGGACTGGTGCACAGCCTCGCGATCCGTCGCCGGGTGCGGATGGCTCGATGGCTCGCTGTGTGCATCGGGAGGGTCGCCCGACGTATGCTCCGGTTCAGGAGGCTGAGCCGACTCTGGAATCGTAGCTGGATGGTATATCTTCAGTCGTCCGACGTGCTTCAGGGAAATTCTGCTCTATATTGTTAGGGTCAGTTGACTCTTACCCTTTCAAATCCTATATCCCCTACCTTTATTTACAAAATCAAGTTAACTCAGTCTGGTCCTTGCGTGTGTCCCATTTGGATACCTACATCCAGTCGAGATCCGCACTTGGTGTGGTTCACATAACGGCGACTGGTCGCATCGTCACTTGAACCATCGCCAGCGATGCCAATTTGGTCGAATAGTCCACGATCGCCGGGATACTCTGGCGACGGTTCTGGACCCGAGCTGCGAGCGGTGGACTGTTTCCAACATCACATTACCATTTCGGAGGCTTTGTATCCCGTACCCAAAACTACTAAGATCAAATTCGATCTCACAGTCTGAGAGACCTAAGCTACACGTCTCCGACACAGCTCCAGAATAGGCGTTAAGATTGGCCGAAAAGACCCAAGAACATGCAGCAAGTCCCCCCCCCCCTCGAAAAGACCCGAGAACAGGCATCGAGTTTACACAAATGAAGTAAGACAGTTAGCAGAGTAGGAAAGACCTGCGGACATCCGGTCGCCGCTTCCGGGATGGAGGCTTGCGGGGTCGTCTCGAACATCGCATCTGATTATCCGTGGGGGCTGCTTTATCTTGCTCGACAGCACCACCTCGCACGCTTTCTCGAACCCCGCAACCTTGATGATATCAGCGCCTGCAGCAAGATACTTGCTCATCGTTGAATGTTTCTCGATGCGCCTCAAATTGTCGCGGACATGGTGAAGCACAAGTGCGTCGTTATGTACTTTTATGGCGGCCGATTGGAAAAAGTCAGCCAGGTATCCCAGCAACACCTTCACGCGGTTCTCCTTCCTACAGGATGGCATCCACTCCATGATGTCGTCGTCACCGTCCAAAACAGAGCAAAGCTAGAAGTAGTGGCCAAGTATCTCGTAGATTGAGCCCCTCGCGTCGTTTGGCGAGAAGCGCGCGCGCAAGTTGTGTTTTTCAAAAAAAAAAAAAAACACACAAACAAACAATTTTAGAAAAGAACAAAACTGCGAAGTACCGAAAAGTCTCAAAAAAATCCCCTTAGCTTCGCCACCTCGTTGAGTCTCAACTTCCGCATAAGCTGCTGGGCTTGTTCCAGCTGCAATTCGAATTCACTACGGACCAAATCACTGCCAAGTTGAAGCGAAGACTAGCGCAGGTAATATATGGGACTGCCATAGGCCCGCCAATTTGGTGTTAGTAGTTGCCATCAATGATAAGAGATGCTGCTAATGTCGCGCTCGAAAAACCGTAGGGTGTTTTTCTTAAATGTAACATGGTTTTCTGCCGTATGGTCGTCCGTATTGTTGTGGACACTTTTAAGAAGACTCCAGGCTACGCGCTCGACGTGCTCAAATGCGACGAATGTCGCCTCAAAATGTTTCAACGTACTAGTGCGACAGTCGGTGTCGATGCCGAGCGTGGACGGAACGCCTCGCTCAAGTATTTTTGACTGCTCCTTGGTCATTTAGTCCACGTAATAAAGAAGGGTATTGGCGCACATTGGTTTCATCATTGTGTACTTTGAGATAGTGGGGTTCCAACAGAAGCTAAGGGGGTGATAGCAGCGATGATCGGGACAAGCCAGTTGTAGACGTCTGGACCTTCTGATCGATGAAGGTCACTAAGGTTCCCGAATGAAGTCACTCATCTTCATTGTCGCCAGGTGGTCGTAGTGGCGCTTCCCGACGTTAAAAATGTTGGCATTGCCCGTTTTGTGGTCTCATATGTGGCAGCAGAAAGGTCCAGTCACGTTTATCCAGATCGTCTAGCTGCGCAGTAGATAGTAGTAGACTTGAGTGGTAGTGAAGGCGCTGTTGAGGTCCATAAGAGAGGAATGTGAAAAGACGAACAAGTAGCGCGGTTACAAGTTTACGTGGCTCTTTTGCACAGCCGTCAACCTCGAGACCTGGGGTCATGGAGGTTCAGCTGCGTAATTATGTTTGCCAACTGCAATAAAAGCAACTTTTTACGAAAATAGAGTATCCTGTGATATTTGAACTAGAGGTTTGGTAGTGAACTGGTGAAAACGTTGTTAAATGCAATGAAATGTATTGCGCTACACCAACCACCTCCCTTGTTTCAGGGATATACTCGTGGTGGCCGAGGAAGCGACCACGCTCCGTTACCAATCTACGGACCGATTTCTTAAACTTCAGTGGATCAGGTATTTGGGCTCGATGCTGAGGCAGTCCCCTCCACTTATACTCGTCGACCATGCATAATATCAGAATTGCTGGCTCAGCATGTGCAGGGATATAATTATATCGAACTCGACGTACATAGTATTTCTAACCCCATCTGCTGCGCGCGCCATGCGCTGCTCGTGATCAGATCTTGCTTCGATCTTTAGAGGTAATGGCGGATAAGAAATAATGCTCGAGTGCGTTTCCTTCGACAAGCGCGAAATGATATCTTTGGGTCGTGTGAAGTAACTTGCACAAGGTTTTGATTCCTATGCCTTCTTTTCAAAAGTCTGGATGTTAAATTTTCCATCCCGTCATTTTCCTGGTTTGTCTTATGTTGTGCTAAAACATGAGAACTCTTCATCAAATTAAAAATCTGTGGATTTTACGGGAAAAATTGAGAATATTAGTGCTCCATTCGAAATTTGTATTGGAGCAGTACCTACTTTTTCTGTGGATCGCATATTTCATCCCTGACTCTTTACCTGGTTGGTACATTTAACTTAACAGCTCAGCAGCACAGTGGCTGGACGTGACACTCCGTCCACCCTGGAAAGCATTTTAAAGCAGCTGGTGACCATCAACGAAAGACTCGGACGTCTTGAAGATGCGCAAGCACAACGGCCTGCAACTTCTTCAAACGCGAGTCTAGTACAGATCCATCATCCTGCCGCTGTCATGCCCGCAGTTCCACCACCCGCCACTGCGTCAGCGCTTGCTGGATGCCTGCTCAACTGGTACACAAATTACATCTGGCAAAGGGTTAAGGGAAAGCAGGAACAGAACAAGCGTGCAGAGGCAAAAGCGATAATGAATATTATGGTGATGCTTTGCCATAAGACCTTCAGCATACCTCCAGATCCCACATGTAGCGATACGGCGTTCGTGGCTGCTTACCGAAGTTGGAAAAGTTCGCTCTGGACACTTGGAGAGGCGATGGACAACGCTGTAAACAATCGCATCCATTCGATCGACAACAAAAAGCCCACTCGAAAAGCTCCATCGCTTCATATGCGATGGAAGCAGCTGAAAACGTTGCATCCTGACGCTGTCAGCGGACTGGGCACCCAATACCTACGCATGAAGACAAACGGACAGATTATCGATGCTTGTACACCCATAACTCGCCTGTGGGATGCCAAAGAGATGTCCTACTGAACGCTCAAACTTCCCAAGAGCAGCAAACAATTTTGCCAACGGCTGGAATTGAACCAGCTTCCAGAGGTATAAGTCTCGTCGTTAAGCTACGTCGGCCCAAGTGATTGTGTCTGGAGCTCAATGTACAGTACTTTGGTGGTCCAGTTGCTCGGTGTATTGCCAGCTTGGCTCTTTTGGACCTTCGGGGTACGAGGTAAAAAAAATCGCGAATGACTGAACACCACTGGCGTCGGAGAAGCTCTTTGATGGGTGAACGCGCGGAGGAAAAATATGGGATAGGCTCAGACAATTCATTTTTTTCAATTCGTTCCTACAGCTCACTTAATTGCTTCATGTTTCATAATATTGCCCCCCCCCCCCCCTCTCTCTCTCTCTCTCTCTCTCTCACTCGGCATTGGCTCCTCATTTCCAATTTGCCAGCTTAGAGAGACATTCCTCCGACTACCTTTTTATGTTTTACGTTTTGTCCTCGTTTGGAGCCTACAGGCCGATTCAGGCAGTGTTGAAAATCAACGTAGCAACGGATTTTCGTTGCAACAGTGAACACACGTTTCAACGTTGGTAAAAAGTCCGTAAAAACGTTGCGACGTTCTCTTCGTTTTTACGTACTTCTTGCACGTTATTTGCTAAAAACGTATCAATATCGTATGAACTTCAGGCTGAAGTTCAGCCCACAGAATCTGCAACAGATCCCTCATAACTCAGCGGGGGGGATTTTACGAGCCCCAACACCACCTCGAGGGCAATGCCCCCCCGCTAGTGAAGAGCGCAACTACTTATTCCGAAGCAAAAAGCCTATAGTGCAGAAAGACGGGAGTACTTCGGAGAAGCACCACTGGTGGATCTGCAAGCAGTGCCACGCAGCTCATGACAATAGTGGCGGAAAAATCGCTGCTCCATCCTTAGTCCGCGATCGTGCGGATGCTTATAGAAGCCATCTGAAGCGATGTCCGTTTCACCGAGGAGAAGCCCTTGTTGTAAGCGCAATTGAAGAACCCCGATCAACTATTTCGTCCGCCCAGTCCATCCCCTCGTTTGGTTCCTCTAGCAGTAGCACAGCAAAGCGGCAGAAGCGAATGAGTGACTTTTTCTTGTCGGTGGAGGAACAACGCAGCTTTGAACGTGATCTACTTGAGTTTCAATCCGAGTGTGCGCTTCCGGTCTATTTTATTGAGAAACCTTCCACGAAGCGATTGTTCGCTCGAATGCCGCAGTATGGGCTACCTAGCCGTAAAGAAATCGGTGGCCGGATGCTCAAGGCCAACGCTGAGACGGCTGAACAAGCCTCCAACGCGAACCTGCGAGAGCGTCAGGAAGAGACAGGAGGCCGCGTAAACTTTCTATGTGACGTTTGGCAGAATGTGGCGAGGCTTCATCTTCTGGCTTGCCATCTATTTCTCTTTGGTGTACTTGTCCAGTTTGAACTCCTGTCGTGTGACTCAAATCACCATGGAATCGCTATAGCAAAGCAAATGGAGGAGGCAATTGCGCGAGCCTTAGCACTAGGATGGATTGTGCGCGCTGCTATTACTGATGATGCTGGGCAATGCGCTAGGGCAAGACGAATCTTGGCACTGCGATGGCCAAATATCGTGTTTCTACGGTGCTTCGCTCATGATGTGAACAATTTGGTGAAAGCAGTCCTCAAGACGGTGTTCAAGACTGTTACAAAGCAGGCAGCCACTGTCACCGCAACATTAAACAGCTCGTCTTCTAAGTGGCTTGTGCGCCAATGAATGTGTGTACGCTATGTACAGAGAAACGCTGGCGTTCATTATGCTGTGTGACACCCGCTGGAATAGCATGCAGGCGTGCTTCGCAAGCTTGCTTCGCGTTCGATCTGCATTGGGAGATCTTGTTCATGCGTACCGCAACGATCCTGAATTTCCAAGTGCGTTGAGTGTATTTCAGGACCCAGTGTTCTGAAAGAATTTGGTGGATGCTGAACGCGTCATTCGCCCGCTCACAGAGGCTTCATTTCGTCTTCAAAAAGATGACAACACGATGACAGATGTTGTTCGTTGCTATGGGAAGATTCACGCAGCGTTTGTTGCAAGTCCCTATGCTTCACATCTTGTACCTGTAGTGGAAAAGCACTGGGCGAATTGTGAGCAGCCGCTAATGCTTTTAGCGTTCGCTCTGCATCCACTCTACGTGACACACACTCGCCGATTGATCGAGGCCCACAACAACACAGTGTTTTTGATGTCGGTAGACGGGATATCTGCTGCAGCCGATTACTACTATTGTCGATACGTTGACGCTAACAACAACGGCCTCACTGGTGATGTAGACAAATGGCTATGGGGTAAATGTACACCCAAGATGTACACGGATTTTACTGATCCAAATGGCATCCTTCAATCTTCTGGAGTCATTGCTTTCTGGGTTCACGTGGGCGCTTCCAAGTGCGGAAAAGAAAGCAAGCTTCCTCATATAGCGAAGGTTATTCTGTCGGTCTCAATGAATACTGCTACGTGTGAACGCTACTTCAGTGAACTTGGATTGATACACACTCCGCGACGGAATAAACTAAGGTTTGATAAGACTCGCCTTATTTCGATCATTCGTAATGAAGTTCGAGAGCGGAATCGTCGAGAAGGAGATACTGATGAAACCTGTAAACCGAAGAAACCCATCGATCCAACGGAACGCCCCAAAAAGCAAACAAACGGAGTTTCCGATTCAGCAACGTCCCTGCCATCACTTGCTGAAAACACTGATGTCGATTATATGGAAACGGTGGGAGCTGTGGACTTTTGGCTTGAAGCGATTGCCGGTCTTGAAGAAGATGTTCCTCCCAATTTCAGTTCGGTGGAAAATGAAGAAGAAGAATGGTACGTGTATGACGCCGACATGGAGCCTATTCCTGTAGCGGATCGAAGCCAAAAGCTTCCTGGCATCAATGTCTCGTCGTTTCCTCAAGAGACTTGTCTGTCGGGGATAAGAGCACAAAAATCAACTCTGGGAGCGTTATTTTCCTGTCACATGGAGCTTTTCCCTGCAGCAGCGTCACAATGAGGCCACGAGAGCAGATAAGTGTAGTCATTAAAAAAACACTTGTTAGTTCTGACCATTGTTGCAATTCGATGTAATTCGTAAGAGATACTCAGTTCACGTTAACACAGTGTCTTTCGCAGTCCGTAGGATCTCCGTACTCTACCAAATCCGCTATCGTCACATCCAGCCATCTAGTCACCAGGGAACACGGCCACGATCTCCATCAGCACGACAGCGGTCGGAAACTCAGCCGACATTTCACCAAAACGTCACACACGACACGGTCACCGACTCCATAAAAATAATTCACCATATTCGCCACCACCAGATAGGCTCGAATCGCCACCACCAGATAGGCATGAATCGCCACCACCGGATAGGAATGAATCGCCACAATCTCCACCAAGACATCACGCAAACTACGGCCAGCAAGCACGGCCGGTGGCCACTAACGCGACCACGGTCTCCAAGAACACGAACATAACCTCCACCACACGGCAGCCGTCGGCACCGTAGCCACCGACTCCACCAGAACATCACGCACGGCCATCGACTCCACCAGCACGACCGACAACGCAACCACCGCCTCCACCAGAACGTCACGCACGGCCATCGACTCCACCAGCACGACCGACAACGCTGCCACTGTCTTCACCAGAACTTTACGCACAACACGGTCGACAACGACGACGGCCTGTGGGTGCAGCTGACCGATCCAGGAGTGTCATCAAAGCGCACACTCTTCATAGCATCGAAGCATTTGCCCAAATGCGGCTGAACAGCTCGTGGATCACGAGTTTGAGAATCTCCAGTAACTCGTCGTTTGAGAGAAAGTAGAATCTTGGGAAAGCCATCCGTTTGGTTTTGAGATAGTCTTCTAGCGATTTGTGGATCTCTTCGAGGAGCCTGTTCGACATTCGGAACTTATCCAAGAGTTCTGGACCACCTTCAACTGATCGGATGACACTGGGATTGCTTTTGGTCCGTAACATTGTTGTCTTCAAGTTTCTGTCAACAAGCGCAAACTTTTGAGCTTCGACTGGCAGTTGCTTCTGAATATCTTCTGCACAGAAAATAGTCTCCAAGTACATCCAGCTACGTTGGCACGAGATCCATTCGTCCAGAGTATCAGAGAGTAAAGATAACCGCTTACTCGATCGTTCCACTTCAACTTTCACCCCCATAACGAACCGTGACCCCATCATCGTTTGAAAACTCACCTGGTTGTCTTCAAGCAGCATCAAAATATCCTCCAGACTGCCCATAATGAACACGTCGTTCTGTTCCCGATGGATCACGCACGTGAACTCCATTTGGTCCCAGCCATGCTTGACCTTCTGCAATGACGCCTCGATCTGAGCTTCCCCCGAGGCTGCAGCCGACATTTCCCCGACTAAATCCTTCATATCCAGCACGTCATAAGCCACAAGGTCCTCCAGTGTGAAGAGAATTCCAGGATACCAAGGCTGTCGAAGCGCTTTGAAGATTTTCCCCTAATGTCGATCTTTCATCGCAGGATTGCCCAACTCCAGCACAGTAGGAATGTTTAGCTTGAACTCGGCTGTACGGTCTTTAAGCACAGCAGTCACATCGTTACTCAGCTTCTTATGCAGCGCGTAGGCATCTTTAAAAGCGACAGCGGCATCTTTCGACAGTTCTTCAGTATTCACCTCAAAGAAAGGACTTGTCATCGCAGTTTGATACAATTCATTCCACTTCTCAACAGCTGTCCAGAGAGATTCCACAGTCGCAAAATGCTCCTGTGTTGCCTGGAGGTTGAGGTACTTAAACGGCATGAGGTTGAACAAAGTCTGGTACTCGGTGCACTGCTTAGAGAGTTCGTCCAGTTGAGTGAGACGCTGCTTGACGCTCTCCAGCTCACTTTTCACCGCTGAAGGGTCCTCGAAGTGACTTGCATCGACGAATAATCCTCCTTGTAGCTGGTTATGCAGCTGCAGCACTTGTTCGTCAAGACGCTGGATGTTGGCATCCAACTGCTGAGTCATTTCGCCTACACGACTGGCCACGAAGCATCGACAGCTTCCGTCTCCTCTTTGTAGCTCTCTTGTACACTGCGCAGATCATCCAACTGCACCATATCTTCCGACGAAATACGCACTCCTTAAGTCCCCAGCAGTCGATATAGTTCGTCTACCACGTTCGTGTTCTTTGCCAGCGCTTTCTGCTTGGATTTGAGACTCTGTACACGCTCCACATGACCTGCGAATTCCTTCAGATGCTGAGGACGCTGTAGTAATGATTGAATCCGCTGTTTGTACTCTCCCAGCTGGGTCTTGCACCTTGCATGCGCCAAGCCCTTCACTAAACCTTTCATCGCGTCCAGTTTAACTGTCGTCATCGGGATCAACGTCTGCTTTAACTTGCGGCTTTCCTTGCAGTTTCTCCATCGAAGTGAACACTTTCTCGTCCATACTCATGGCTACGGTGTACTTCTGCTCAAAGTTACAGTCACCAGGGATCGGTACGATCATCAACACGGCCAACGACTTGGCCAAAGGCTTCGCTAGCATGGCCTGCGATCAGCAAAGTAGCCACAGAGAAAATAGTCTCCATCAGTACGGCAGCGACCAGCAACGCGGCCACCGCTTACACCAGAAGTCACGCAACGCGGTCACAGTATTCACCGGTAAGCCACACAGCGTAGCCTCTGTTTCTATCTACACGAGCGACAGCGTGGACATACTCTCCGCAAGAACAACTGGTAACGCTTGAGCTCCGTAGCTTGGGGCAACAAAACACACCCTTAACACGTCCACACCACTCAACAGCACGTCGGTAACGCGTCCTCCCCATGTAGTCGGAATTTCCACGTACGTTATCTCATTGTTGTTTCTTTTTCTTTCCATTAACAGTGTGGTGTGCAGCACATCGCGTAAGAACTGAACCAACGCGTAAAACCGTTCCAACGCGTTGGTAAAAACTAAGCCACGTTGCTTCAGATGTCGCAACGTTGCTACTGCCAACACTGATTCAGGTGGCTCTCGCTAATGCGCCTTTCCTGTTTAATCGAATTTTTGGATTGCCGACGGGCGCCTTCAAAAGATGGGCTCAGCACCATTCCTCTCCAATCGAATCATCTCTTTGTGAGAGCTAAAACCGGTACAGGAGTACCGTTCAAAATCAATTTATGTTCGTCTAGATTCGGTGGTAGCAACATCGTCCAAAAATCTGGTTCTATTTGAATTGATGAGATTTCGCTAAACCAACCCACATTTACCCTAGTAATTTTGGTAATCAAATTTAGAGCTCGCCGTGCGTCATAAGGACATCAACAGCGCCACAGTCATTTAGCGAGCCAAATTTGCCCAGTGCATTGCTGCTGGTGTGGAACAGGGAGCAAACACATGTCCCTGTGTCTTCGTCTGCAGTAGCAGTAATAGACAACTCTGATCAACAAAAAATAAAGGTAAATCTATCACGTGAAACAACATACCACATCGCCCCCGATTGTTACAAATTACGTCTTCTTTGGTGCCCTGAGTAGTCGGGACAACATTTGTGGCCACAGTGGCTGTCGAATGAGTCAATGTCGCTGAAGAAATGCTGAGTAGCGGTAGGTCTCCCGATGGCGAGTAAAAAGTCACCCTCATCGCTAAAGACAGAACCAACAGTAGAGAATCAGTTAGACGATCTTCATCAAAGAGTTTACGCGCATGTTTTATCAATACCATTGCCAGCACTTGAACAAGCAACTGCACCGGTCGCAAAGGAAACACTAACGCTTGTTATTCTGTAAAGCCAGGCAAAAACGATGGTTAGGTTCGCAGTGCTCAAGAAAGAAGTTAGAAACTGATCAAACCTACGTGAGTAGACGCTCTAATGCAAATTTCACCGCCGAAGCTGATGCTGAGAAGGCGATTGGTAAAGTGGTTTCTCCCCGAAATGACAGAGTGAAGCTCCCTCCGTCAGCTGAGCAGCTCACGGTCTGCACTTCGTCCACCTGGTTGGTCGTCCAAGGATCATCGCCACTCGGACATGGAGCTGTTCAAGGTGGTTATCATTCCATACGTTGATGTAATAATTCAAAGTACGTACTTTTGGCACAGCTGTAGCCTGAATAACGCACATTCTTTCCACGATCGAGCGGGACCTTGTCGCAGTAGCAGCCCTGAGCCATATCTGCATCCCATGTCGATAATGCGTTGGGGTCAGATCCGTAGACGAATCCTGCAGCGGTAAACGTAGCGGTGGGAGTGAGTGCTGCCAGCTCTCGAAGTGTCCGACAAGTTCCTCGGTTGTTGCAAACAGCTCCGTTACTGGTAGGACACGACACTTTGAAACATGTTAGACGACAGTCACGACCCGAAGAAACGATGAACAGGGCCAGCCGTTGCCTACTTCGATTGCATGCGGCTCCTTCAAAACCGGTAAGACATCTACAAGTACCAGCACTGTTGCAGAGGCCCTGGCAGAAGGCACATGACATAATATAAGCGTCAACTGGTCTTCAGGCTGTGGCTGGCTAACTGCGAGTTCGTACCGCATTTGAGCACTGGACAATCGAATTGTGAGCGACATTATTCGTGGCTGCTTCTTCCACCCACGCCCGTCCAGTCGGGCATTGGGGCTGCGAGCAATCGTAGCCTCCAAATCCCTCATCGCACAAGCATTGGTAGAGCGGTGCACCCTGGCATCTTCCATGGTTGTAGCAGCGCGTCACCGATCCGAAAATTCCTGATCAGTGTCACGAATCTCGTTAGTGCTAGGAAACGAATTGTCTTGGATAGCTGTATACTGCAGTACCTGCGCAAGTAGTCAAGCCGCTACCGCTGTAGTATCCGCAGTCCAGGATATTCCCTGAGCCACCCAATCCTGCTCAAACAACATACTTAGTAACTTAGCGTTGTGAAGTTGGAGCATTAATACAAGTTTAGTACTTTACCGTCGCTGGGTCCAAAGCCTGTCGCACACGCACAAAGACCAAGAAGAGTGTTACAAGTTCCTCTACCAGAGCACTCGAGCCACTACTCAACACACTCAGTCAGCTATGTCACCACCCAAAGGATCGTAACCATTCGTAACTTACCTCTTTGGTTCCGCGTACTGTCAGCGGTGGAGTGGGGCCATACGCGGCTTGTGTTCCATCTGTGAAGTATTCAAATATTTCATCAAGTCTACGGCATCTCGTTCATTGTGGCCGACTTTGACGCACCTGTTTCCACCGTAAGTGAGCTGGTTCCCCCTGAGAGTGACGAACCAATAACTAGTGCCGGTACGTCTCCATGTTCGTATGTGAACGTGATCATCGCGGATACACCGTCCGAGTCACACAAAGTCGTTCCTCCATTCAAAGAGACAGATACTCCACGGATCGTTATCAAGTCTTCCAATGCAGCCTTTAAAGTTGCTGCCGTATCGACATTCCCATCTAATGGACGCGTTGTCTCTCCACGAAAACTCAATGTAAACGTCCCTGTGCAGCCATTGCAAAGACAGGAGACGGACTGCACCTCATCAACTTGTCCAGTCGAGATGGGGTCATCCCCGTACGGACATTGACGTAGAGAGCAATCCGCACCGGTATAGCCGTGATCGCACACGCAGCCATAAATCCGATCAGCGTCCCAGGGCGTGTCGTACGTGGCCGAGTAGATGAGGTTGTAGTCATTCTTGGTAGCCGCCATCGCTCGCATGGACAAACATTTGCCGTGGCCATTACAATTTGTACGGCATAACTGCAAACGCTCACAAGCAGGACCAGCGAATCCTTCATCACATTCGCATTTCCCACTGCTGCGATTGCAGAAGCCTCGGTTGGAGCATTCCTGAGCAACAGAGCGGACCGAGTCCTGACCCGTGGCAAAGTCGACCCACGGAGCTCCTTTCGGACAAGCTCGAGAGTTGCAGTCATAGCCAGTGTAACCAGGAAAGCACGTGCATCTGATTAAGTGAGCGTTAGTCGTGGCAGTTGATATACAAGTCGGTGCTGGTTAACTCACGTGTTGTCGCTTCCGCAAGTTCCGTGGCGGTTGCATTTGGACGGACATGAGCCTTGGACTCCGGGTAGGAAACAGCAGCAAAGCGTCAGCGCCACGAGTAGAACGCAAAGGCGGCGTCCTACCATCGCTCACACCACACCGACGACTACTATAATTGCTGTGCTCTTCAATAGTCGCAACTGGAGCGACGATTCGGTGCTTACAGGCATCGTTGCAATAAATAACTTAACGAGCGAGATGCATGAACCATGAAGCGTGTCAACACTTCCATCGCTATTACCGGTGCGTATTGCTGTTGCTTATCCTGGGTGCTTTGCTGTGGCTAGCGTGGGAGTGTCAACTGGGACACTTGCGCTTCTAGCTCCCGCGGCAGCCGCGGTGGAGCTGTCGCTGGCTTTGCTTTGAAGGCAGGAAGTTCTTGACGGGAGATCGCACACTTCGCCAGAACGCTCGTGCCTGGCCCTCCTCTCAAGTTACGAAGTTGAAACACCGGAAAGCACCGGCGTAGCATTTTGCAGTCACCTTGAATGCCAACACTTGAAATGAAATAAAATGATTTACGTGCCAGCACTTATCCTCCTATTTGCTCCTCGAAGCTTTGCACCTGCACGCCTCAAACTGCGTTCAAGTTTGCATGCGCGCCCTGGATCAAACAGCAAGTTCGGCTTCAACTTGCTCTAGAAACGCGTCAGTTTATCTTGAAAAATGTATGCTGCGACGAAGATACCTTCAGTTCGCGTTGACTGTCAACACACACGATTGGCGATGAACGCTCTGGCGTCCGACGTGTGGACACCAACAGGTCCTAGTCCAATCCCTGCGAAGCCCCGAAAGCCATCAACAGCTTCACTCGTCTACGCGCTGCAGGCAGGTTGCTTGCTCACATTTCGCCGCTTAGCGCTGCCGTCGACATGCATTCGGCCAATCACATCATCGTATTTACCAATTTCCACCAATAAAGTCACGTGCATCAGTTTTGGCTCGTTTTTTTTTTAGATACCGGCGGTCTCACTTCGCATTTTGCCGACTTGAGCGCACGTCAACGTCAGCACTCGACCATCACTCTCATCTAAGATCATGGCGTCCTTTGCGTTCCGTCGCGCCTCCAAGCGTGTGGCGCTCATGGGCGCGGGCGTCGTCGGCGTCTCTGGTCTCTCAGGCGCCGCCATCGTCTCGGCCAAGGAGCCGCAGCGGCTCGTGGCGCCCATTAAATGCGAGGACGGATCGACCATCATTCCGTACGAGACGCCGTCGCGCGACGCGCAGCTAGAGCGTCTCAAGAAGGAGCAGTTCGACGTGCTTGTGATCGGTGGCGGTGCCACAGGCTCCGGCTGTGCGCTGGACGCGGCCACACGTGGCCTCAACACGGCCGTGGTGGAGGCCAGCGACTTCGCGGCAGGCACGTCTGGCCGCTCTACGAAGCTCATCCACGGCGGTATCCGTTATCTGGAGACAGCGTTCATGAAGCTAGACTACTCAGCCTTTAAGCTGGTGAACGAGGCGCTGGAGGAGCGTTCTTTCTTCCTCTCGGCCGCGCCCTACATGAACCGTCCGCTTCCTATCATGATCCCCATCTACAAGTGGTGGGAAGTGCCCTACATGTGGGTGGGCGCCAAGGCCTACGACGTGGTGGCCGGCAGCAAGCGTTTCGTGCCCGGCAGCTACTACATCAACGCCGAAGAGGCTATGTTCCAGTTCCCCATGCTCCGTAAGGAAGGCCTGAAGGGCGCTATCGTCTACTACGACGGACAGATGAACGACACTCGTATGAACGTGTCTGTCGCTCTCACAGCCACGCAGAACGGCGCTACTGTCGCTAACTACGTGAAGGTGGTGCATCTGATCAAGGACGACGAGGGCAAAGTACGTGGCGCCCACGTTAAGGACACTTTGACCGGCGAGGAGTGGGACGTCAAGGCTCATGCCGTCGTCAACGCCACTGGTCCCTTCACGGACGCTATTCGTCTGATGGACGACCCCAAGAAGGAAAAGATCTGCGTCCCTGCTGCTGGCGTACACACCGTCCTACCTGACCACTTCAGTCCCAACCGTATGGGTCTTATTGTGCCCAAGACGAGCGACGGCCGCGTGCTGTTCTTCCTGCCGTGGGAGAATGGAACGCTGGCTGGTACGACCGACTCGCAGTCCGAGATCACGATGCTGCCGTCCCCCACCAAGGAAGAAGTGGACTTTATCATCGATGAGGCCAACCGCTACCTCGCCAAGGACGTGACGCGCAACGACATCAAGTCGGCCTGGTCGGGTATCCGTCCGCTGGTCAAGGACCCTCGTCACGCTGGCCAATCGACGAGTAGGATCTCGCGTGAACACGTCGTGGAAGTGTCCGAGTCCAACATGGTGACGATCGCTGGTGGCAAGTGGACCACGTACCGTCGTATGGCTCAGGACGCCATTGACAAGCTGGTGGAGACTGTACCGGAGATCAAGGCCAAGGCTGCGCCCTGCAAGACCAAGGATGTGGGTATCATTGGTGCCGACCGCATTGGCGAGGTGTGCAACAAGAAGTTCGACAAGATCACGGTCACTCTGCGCGAGAACTACAACCTGGACAAGGACATTGCTGAGCACTTGATGCGCAACTACGGCACGCGCGCTCTTCAGGTCGCGGAGATCGAACAGAACGGATTCCTGGACCGCAAGCACACCGACCACCCGCGTCGTCTGCACCCGAAGTACCCGTACCTGGAAGCTGAGGTCGTATTCGCTGTGCGACAGGAGTATGCGCTTAAGGCGACCGACATCTTGGGTCGTCGTATGCGTCTGGCCTTCATCGACAGCGGTGTGGGCATGCAGCTGGCCCCGCGTGTAGTGCACATGATGGGTGAACTGCTTGGCTGGTCGAAGGCCCGTCGGGAGCAGGAGCTGGCCGAGTGCAAGGAATACCTGGAAACCATGCACAACTAAGTATTCTTCGTCGCAGCAGTAAGGACGGATACAGTCGAGTAACACGACGAGTAACGAACATGTAGTAGATCATCTTGACCTTAACCTGTCTTCGATATTGTAGATCGTGTCCCGAGTGACTCGGCGAGTCAACGCGTGAACTGCCAGTGATGATGTTGCCGTGGATAGTCCACCGAATCTTGGCTGCTTGGTGTCGAGTCTTTCGTGCGTAGCCTGGACATTTTGTTGCTCATCGTCTGTGCACAGGAGATGCCGACGGCGATGAGTGCAGTTGCTGCATTTTCCTCGCTTTCACGTCTGAGGCTGATGTTGCGTTCTCCCTGGAATTGTATGGCGCCACTAAGTGCAGAAGTTCTCGTGCCAGTGCAGCGTTCTCAAGCTGCTTTGCAGCAGGTTTGATCAACGCTGCTGGGTCAAGTTTGGTCGGCGCCGCTGGTGCTGTACGGCTGATAGGCGGTAGGACTCCACGTCGGTCTTCTTCGAGTCTGTCGCTGTCTTCATCTGCCAGGCCGATGAGCATATCCAGTCCGTATTGCACGAGCTGTTGGCTGTTCCGAGGATGCTTCATGACCACAGCGACCAGCGCTGCTAGCAGAGCCTCCACCACGTCTTCACTCTGTCGCTCCCGATCAAACACCCCGACAAGCTGCTGGACGCCGTTCAATGCACCGACGAGGTCTTGATTGCGCACGTTGTTGGCCACCGTGTTCCGTAGCGCCCACAAACACGAAATCCTCACTCGATGCTCCATTTCAGACGAACTCCCGGACGCAGAGGGGAACAAGGGCGAAGGTTTGGCGCAGATTTCAAGCAGTTTTTCAAGTCCGCGCTCGTTACGGAGTCGAATTTGAGCACTCGGTCTCTTCCAGACTTCGTCTGCGATGGCGTCGCTGATCATAGCGACAAGACCCGGATTCGTTGCGTCAAACAGCAACGCGATGAGCTTCTTCATGTCCACAGACTCGAACGATTGAGTCGGAGACATTCCGTGGTCTTGTTTGAGTTGACGCATATCTGCCAGCAACTCTAGCGCCTCAAGAGCGGGGTCACACAGATCTTTGTTCGTGCTTCCACTGAGGTTCACTAGCGTGTCGATACCGTGGGGAATTTCCAGCATCCTGGTCTTGTTGACGTCGTGGAGACACATGTTGATGACACCAAAGAGGCCGTGCTGTTGCACTGCCACTTGCCCTGTTCGACTGCACAGTCGAGTGAAAAGGTGCAGCCCATTCATCTTCCCAGCTCCAGTGTTACTCGGGATGTCGACAAGGCTTGTAGAGCCCATTTGCAGGGCGATTGAATCGCTGTACGATAGTGAACACAACGCTCGAGCAGAATTCTCTAACGTGGCACCGTCAGCATCGAGAGCATTGCGAGCAAGCAGCTGCATCCAGTCAGAGTTTGACGCCACTAGCTGGCGAATAGCGTCGTTGTAGAACAGAGAGTTTGCTATGATACACAGACCGTGCTCTCGGATCTGCCGCATGAGCTGCTCGTCTTGTTGTCTGCGTTCTACTCTGACGACGGGATCCGCCTCTTCTTGTTGATTTAGAGATATTTGCGTTGAGCTAAGAGTGCAGAGCTGATAGAGATGGTCGATATACCGAGCGACGCGATACTGGTTGTCACGGTTCCACGTGAGGTTTGCGAGAGCCCAAGTTGCCTGTGCCATCATCGGCAAGTCATCGGTTCGAGCTGCAAGTAAGAAGAGCGCATCCATCCCACTCGCTGCTCCGATCGCGGCTCGAATGGCGTCATGCTGAGCTATACTGCCTAGCACAACTGCGCCATGGAATGCGACGTTGCGGTTGCACGAAGCACACATCAGCACAAACGTACTTACACCAGCATTCTTGGACTGCACACCGGCTTGTTCCTCCTTGTGCTGCTCCTGATTGTCCATCGTTGTGATTTCATTCATCTTGGTCTGCTCTTCAAGAACGAAGTCGGCGACGTTGTACGAGTGATGGTCGCTTTCGCTCTCATCTTGGTCCAGTAAAGTGATGACATTGGCGATCACTTGCGACGCGTACGTCTGGATCAGTTCAAAGACCTCCAAGTCGATAACGTCATGAATTCTTGGCGTGTTACAGAGCTTCGTAAGGATTGAAATCCCGTGAGACTCTACAATTGCCTGGCATGATCGTACGTGGTCGTGAGAGAGATGGGAAAGCGCTTGAGTCGTTGCCAGAGTCAAGTCAACGTCTGCATCAAGGGCATCACTGGAGCTCACAGTTCTTTCACACAGTCGAAGAAGTACGGGTATACCGCCTTCTGTGTAGATGGCCTGCTGGTTGAAGGAATTCCGGTATGCCAAGTTCGCGAGTGCCTGAACTGCGTGTCGAATAATCTGAGGATCGTCACCACTTGACTTGGGCTCCAACAGACCAACGAGTAGCGAGATACTCCCATCCAGACGTCCAATGATCGAAGTGTTTCTAGAGCTTCGCACGATCAGAGCGAGTGAATGTAGGGCGCTGCATTTCACAGTGTTGTCCGTGTCTGGAGATCTACACAAATCTAGAATGGTCTGAAGCACGTTGGACGAGAGGCCCATGTACTGCTGATTAGCCACATTCGTATCGGGGAAAACCATATCGTCGAACTGCAGCCACGTCGAGGTGAACAGGAGCTTCTTGTCCTTCTCTCTGCCTCCTTTTGAGCTCAAATCATGGTCAGTCTCACCCGAAATGTCGTCTATAGGCGTGCTGGGGTCAGCTAGCCAATTCATCTCGGTCACGTCTTCCTCAGCTACAGCATCAAACGACGTCTTCATCGCTGATAGTTTATCCAAGACTGTATCCGACTGGTTCTTCATCCACTGGAACCATTTCTGCTTCGCCTTCCAGCCCAACGACCGAGCCGTGGCATTGGCGTTCCACGATAATTGACCAAGTGCTTTCGCACAAATTGCACGCACAGACTGCTGACTCGAGTGTCGTGCAAGAACAGCCAGCACTTCGATGCCTGCATTCTCTCGCAACGTATCGTTGATCTCTGCTGTGGCGCCAGCGAGGATTTCGATCCCGTCTGCAAAGAAGGAGAACAACAAGTTGACGTCTGTGAGGATACTCTGCGCTGTCACGCGATGTCGCCAATTGACAAGACGCAAGCTGCGTTGCAGTTGTTTGTGTTGTTGCTGCTGCTTGGCCATGTCCTTCTGCATGTTGGTAAAGTCCGTGTGCGCTTCTTTGGCCGAGATCTTCATCGAGAGATTCCACATCTCGATGTTGTTGATCTTCTTGATCTGCGCAGAGATGCGGAAGCGCATGTCGTTCACCTCTGCTGCTCGACGCTTCTCTAAAGACTGATAGGCCTTCAACAACTCCTCGTTGGCTATACGCTGGGCGTGTAGCTCTCTTTTCGCTGCTGTGAGCCAATGGGTCTGCTTATCCATCGCATCTTCAAGCTCCTGCGCTCGCTTTTCAAGATCTTGTCGAATAGCGTCATGCTCACGTATTAACTGCTCACGATCAAGCCGATATTTAGTCTTCTCTTGCTCGAGTAGAGTTTTGTGTTCTTCGATCTCACTACGAAGCACTTTAATGACTTCTTGGGTCTGTAGCTGAACGCTGTCGCTGGCTGCTTGGTAGTCGCTCTGTAAGCGATGGATTTTGCCGTGCAGCTCTTCAATCTGAACTTGCAAAGTGCCTTTAACTTTGGTCAACAATTTAATCTGGCGGTGTAGTTCTTGCTGTTGTTCTTCGTGTTGCGTTTGTAGCAGAGCTAATGAATCCTCGTGACGTGACAACTGCATGTTCGTCATCCATTCGTCCGACGTTGTGTCTTTGATGAGAGCTGAAGCAGCTAGAACACGCCAACGATCCTCGCGGTCGTAGCACATGAGTAGGAATCGACGTACTTGCTGCAGATACTGAAGCTTGGACGCGAATACACGAGCGTTCTCCTCATACAGCTCTTTCGGCGAAGCTTCTGCGTCGTCATCCTCAGTCTCCTGTTTGTCAGCGTCTTTCTTTTTTTGCATCAGCAGGCAAAGTCGTTCAATAGTTTGACGACAGCTCTGCAGTTCGTCCATAAGAGCGAAGTTGAGATCCCACAGACTCTGCTTCTCTGCTGTCAGCTTGGTCTCTTCTTGCAGTTTTGCATCGGTGTAGCCACATGAGCGCAACTCTAGTGACACTAGCAGTGCTTTCGCTTCCTCTTCTTTTGCGTATCTGGCTTGCAGCTCTGCTTCCTGTTTCTTCAAAGATGCAACCAGTTTTTCAGACTGCGCTTCGAGTTCTAAACGCTCGAGAGGATGAACTGCCTGTGTCGGCAAGGCATTGGCATCTTCAAGCTGCTGTTGCAGTTCTTTAAGTCGATCGCGCATTTGAAACACAGATTCCTCACGCGCTGCCCGCTCGACAAGGAAGCGAGCTCGCACCACTTGCGTCTGGGCCTGCAGATCCCACATCCGTGTGTTCGCAGCTTTCTCTAAATCGCTCAAACGTTCAAAAAACGGGGCATCTGCGTCTTCGTAGAGCGTTATATCCACTGCTAGATACTTCTGTGACGTCGTTAACAACACGAGTCGGTCTGATAGTTTGTTCAGCTTTGTGTTCCGAGTCTTCTCGGATTTCTCCCATTTCCGCCACGCTAATTCAGCGTCAGTAAACGATTTCAACTCACGCAACTCAGCTTCATCCACTTTCATACGTTCATCATCAACGTCCACCACTAGAACCTCTGTAGTTCTAGTAACGACGGGAGCTAAATCTGTGATCTTTTCAGATTTAACATCTGAAAGAACAGCTTCATCCTTAGGTACCACATCCCCAGTCTCGTTGCTCTCAACCTTTGGAGAATCGTCATCTTTAACATTGATATCGACCTCGCTTTCGTCCTTTTCATCGTCCTCGGGTAGTGTTTCTACCGTCAAATACCTCCCAGCTGCTCGTTCGAGCTCGTCTTCAGTTGGTCGTGGCAGCTCTGGAGGTGACGTAACCGCTGCTTCTAACTCAGCAATGGACGCTTCCACAGTGACAATTTCTTCCTCGTTACTCTTTTGCTGCTTTCGAATTTGGTCACAGAGCTCTCGTAATTCCGTCGCTTTCGCAGCAGCTTCTTCCTGGCGTAATGAGCTTTTTTCTAGAAGATCAAACTCAACTTTCTCAGTTTCCAACACACGTGACTCGATGTGCTTTGTATGTACAAATTCGGGTTCTAGTCGATGACGATCGCGCACTCGCGGGTCTCGAGTCAATGGCATGGACAGATACAATCGATCGACGCGTTGTTTTGCGGCAAAGTCGCGGAGTTCTTGTTCAAATGCCTGGTCGTCTGCAGCGAGCGTCATCCCTTTCTTAGCGACTGAGTCTCGAGCGAACACCGGCACACTCGCTTTGCCCGTACTGGCCTGTTGAGCTTTGCGTTGTTGGGCTTCAGCTTTGGCTTTCTTCGCTGCCTGCTCCTCCTTCTCGGCGATTCGTCGCTTGCGTTCCACAGCAATTACAGCAGCGTCTTCCTCCTTTAAAAGCTCCTCTTCTCGCTCGAACAACTCACGGGTAGCTGTCAGCACCTCCATGGCAAGAGAGCGTTGCTTGGCAGCACTCTGTTCCACCTCTGCTTTTAACTGTTCGTATCGCTTTAACTCCTCTTCAAGCCGCTCACGTGCCGGCATGGGATCCATCGGTACGTCGCCACCTTCTTCCTCTTCATCTTCTTCGTCGTTATCGGTCGGTGTTTCATTTTTTCCTTCATTTTCATCATCTGACAACGTTTTGGATGGTTGAGTTTGTCTTTGAGCCTCGGGGTAGAAATTCTCGAGTCTGTAGTCTTGTTCCCAGTCCATGGTGGTCATATTCCAGCCCTGTGGTACTTCAAACGCTGTGGCTACAGGGGCGTCCCATACGCTCTCGCCTGTGACGGTATTCGTGTAGTAGGCTAGTTGACTGTCGTCCTCATCAGAGGCTTCTGGCAGCACTAATTTCCAGTGTGAAGCCTCTTCAAGCTGCTGACGAACACGTTCACGCTCAACTCGCTTGGTTACCAACGCTTCTAAACGTTTGCGCTGCTGATCATCAGTCAGATCTTTCACGAACTGGGCAGCATTCTTGATCGGGATAAAAAGAGTGGGGAGCGGCACATTCTCCGGCCAAAGCCCCGCAACCCACTCTCGTTCTTCGGCTCGTTCCTCTTGCTCTCGTCGCAGTTTTTCTTCTAGTGATGCAATCTGCTTCTGTAAATTGCCACGTTCTTGCTGACTTAGTATCAGTGTTTGCTTGTGCCTTTCGAGGGTTTCTTGACGTTGCGTTAGAGCGAGTTGGACTTGTTGTTCGCACTCTGTTAGACGATTATTTTGTAGCAGTAAATGTTCTGTGAGTTTCTGCTGCGTCTGCGTGCATCCTTCGTCGAGAACTCGAGCGATTTCAGCTTCCAGAGGAGACAACTCTTTCACTAATTCCTCTTCTTCTTCGACTTCTTCGGTTTCCTCGCTCTTCTGGTCTGTATCCTCTGGAGCGTCCGAGTCTTGCTCCTCGATATTATCTCCTGGCAAGTCTATTTCATAGGCCCCGTCGTCGTTTCCTTCATCGTCACCAGGTTCTGGGTTATCGTCCGGATCAGCCTCATCTTCAACTGCTTCTTCGTTGAAATCATCGTCATTTTGAGCTACTTCCTCCTCGTCGAAGTCTTGATCGTCCATTCTGTACAATACAGTTGATCAATTTAAAGAGCCGTGGCTCTTCATTCCCCGATTAGAGAAGGATCCAGATATCTTTAGTTTGTTTTTTTCGTTCAAGCATAATCCAATGCTGCTGAAACAAAGCGCTGCACCGAATGGGAAGGTGACGACCAAGTTGATCAGAATAGACTCGTCCTTGGTTCAAACACCGAGAATAGCCAAGGGCGAGGATGAGTTTGAGCTTCGCCGCAGTGCTAAAAAATTCTCTCACATTGGAACCTACTTCCGCAAGTCACAATGAAGCTCAGCCGATCTCGCGCCTTCATCGCGTGCACCAGCCTGTTGCTAGCAACCGCTTCATCGTCGACCAACATGACGGCTGTCAAAACCTACGACGTTGACTCGTGCACTGGCGCTCCACTCCAAGTCGTGTTCACGCCCACAGAAGACTGCAGCAGCATCAACCGCAACGCTGAATGTTCTCTCGAAGCGAAGGACTTGGGTATCTTTGCCTCGGGTAGTTGCACAGACGATCCTCGTGCGTTTTCAGCCGCGACATTTGGTGACTTCCCCTATGTGGTGGTGGAGCTTCACACTCCCGATACCAACTGCGCCAAGCTCGAGGGTGTGGCCGCTTACCGCGTCGACAGCGAGTGTCACCCGACGATTGACACCAGCACCAGCTTCCAAGCGGACTGGGACGGCGTCACACCCTCGTTCAAGCTATTTGCTGACTCTTTGTGCAGCTCGTTCCCACTGTTCGACTTTGAATTGGACGTCGACAGCGGCGAGTGCGTCGGCGGCAGCATGAAGCTCTTTGCTGTGGTGGCACCAAATTAAGCAGATATTTAAATAACAAGTTGTTGCCACAAATACATGAACACTTTCGGTGAAGTATGGCAAGCGTTTTTTTTAGAAGCGACAACATTGAAGTGGAAGGGCTATTTTCTGACTCTTCTGTTCTTACAACCTCCAAAAGGTTTTATCTGCTGTAAATGCGTGAAACAGATCCTTGCTTATCAATGTGTAATTGGTCGAAAATCGTTTAACCTCAGTCTATAATAGCAATATCTCAAAACGTTCCTGCGCCATCCATTCAGGGCCAAAAAGTCTCCCCCCGCCGCCCTCCCCGTCGCGATCATTATCCATTCTGCGGAGAAGAAGGTAACGCTAGCTCCAGCCAAACCTAAAATTAGACAATTTGCTTACTTTTTTACTGCGTTAAATTCGTCAGGTAATTCAACAATGGGCAAGGAAAAGGTTCACATTTCGCTGGTCGTGATTGGCCACGTCGACGCCGGTAAGTCGACCACCACTGGTCACTTGATCTACAAGTGCGGTGGTATCGACAAGCGTACCATCGAGAAGTTCGAGAAGGAGGCTGCCGAGCTCGGCAAGACCTCGTTCAAGTACGCCTGGGTGCTTGACAACCTGAAGGCCGAGCGTGAGCGTGGTATCACGATCGACATTGCCCTGTGGAAGTTCGAGTCCCCCAAGTACTTCTTCACGGTCATTGACGCCCCTGGTCACCGTGACTTCATCAAGAACATGATTACGGGTACCTCGCAGGCCGACTGCGCCATCCTTGTGGTGGCCTCGGGTGTGGGTGAGTTCGAGGCTGGTATCTCCAAGGAGGGCCAGACCCGTGAGCACGCTCTGCTTGCCTTCACTCTGGGTGTGAAGCAGATGATCGTCGCCATCAACAAGATGGACGACTCGTCTGTCATGTACGGCCAGGCCCGTTACGAGGAGATCAAGAACGAGGTCACCACGTACCTGAAGAAGGTCGGCTACAAGCCCGCCAAGATCCCGTTCGTGCCCATCTCTGGCTGGGAGGGTGACAACATGATCGACCGCTCCACCAACATGCCGTGGTACAAGGGCCCCTACCTCCTTGAGGCTCTTGACAACCTGAACCCCCCTAAGCGCCCGGTTGACAAGCCGCTGCGTCTTCCTCTTCAGGATGTGTACAAGATCGGCGGTATTGGCACGGTACCTGTCGGCCGTGTGGAGACCGGTGTCATCAAGCCTGGCATGGTCGCCACTTTCGGCCCCGTTGGTCTGTCGACTGAAGTCAAGTCCGTCGAGATGCACCACGAGTCTCTGCCTGAGGCCGTCCCTGGTGACAACGTCGGCTTCAACGTCAAGAACGTGTCGGTGAAGGAGCTGCGTCGTGGTTACGTCGCCTCGGACTCCAAGAACGACCCGGCCAAGGGCACCCAGGACTTCACCGCCCAGGTGATTGTGCTGAACCACCCTGGCCAGATCGGCAACGGCTACTCGCCCGTGCTTGACTGCCACACGGCCCACGTTGCCTGCAAGTTCAAAGAGATCACGGAGAAGATGGACCGTCGTTCGGGCAAGGTGCTCGAGACTGCCCCCAAGTTCGTGAAGTCGGGTGATGCCTGCATGGTCATCCTCGAGCCCTCCAAGCCCATGACCGTCGAGTCGTTCCAGGAGTACCCTCCTCTGGGCCGTTTCGCCGTGCGTGACATGCGTCAGACGGTTGCCGTCGGTGTCATCAAGTCGGTGACCAAGAAGGACGCCTCGGCCAAGGGCGCTGCCAAGAAGAAATAAGCTCATGACAAGTCGCTTGGTGATTTTGTCGACGACATCTGAGTTTTTGGGTCGGCGCTGATTTCTACATTCATTCTTCTCTCCGTGAAATTGCCGTAGTTTGATGCACTTTGTGTGGAGATCGACAGCAGCTTCTGCAGTTTGAATAACCAACAGAAAAATAGAAAGGCTTCCTTGCTCTTTTTCCTAAAATTATTGGGTTTGTAGTTGCAAATGCATTGATTTGGTATTTGTAAGACGACAACTAGCGCACGAAAAAATATCAGGTGTTTTGCAATTTTGCAAACATTAATTCTGGGTGCGTGCGTGCCTTCAACTCATTGTTTCATGACACTGTCAATGGTTTTGAGCGTGTGCTCCCAGACAATGTTCTTGAGCTTGTCCGTGTGGTATTTCGTCTTTGCTAGCGGCTCTCCGCGCTCTCCAAGCAGTTTCCAGCCCGCAGCAAATTCAGGTTTTGTGAGCGTGGCGACCAAGTACTCAGCACATCGTTCGGGCGAGTGCGCCGCGATTACTGCGAAGATCTTGGATGGTACTCGAACATACCATGGAAAGCGGTCGAACAGCCCAGTGTTCACGAAACCAGGGTACAGGTGCATGAACGACACATTGGGTGCATGCTCCGACAAAGCCTGCGCCATCAGGTCCCTATCAACAAACATTAGTCACCAAATAGCACATATCTGAAGTCTTAAACACGTACGAGTAGAGTGTCGTCGTATCAGCGCAGTGTTTGATCGAGTAGTTTTTCTTCAGATCCAAGTCATTAAGGTAAGGAGCCCCACCCCGTCCAGCTCCCAGTACATTGAGTACGCGCACACCTGGTCGGTCTAGCCCCGCCAGCAAGTCGTGAACTAGCATGAACCTGCCAGCAACACCGTCAGGCTCAGTACCCCATCTTCTCCTCTACTACAGGCACGCACCGTCCGTAGTAGTGCGTGCTCATCTTGACATCAAGCCCCTCTTGAGTCTCGGTGCGTCCATTGAGCGAGAGGATGCCTGCAGTGAGGACGATCCAGTCGAACTTGGTGTCCTTGTGTCTCGTAGTGAACTTGCGCACCTCATGCAATAGAGAAACGTCCAAACGCTCATAAACCACGTCTAGACTCGGATTCTTAGCCCTTATGGACGCTACCAGGTCCGGTGGACACCTCCGTGAACACAACGTCAACTTGTCCACCATAGGCGCCACCTTATGCGCCACAGCGAGCCCAATGCCCGAGGAGGCGCCGACGATCAGCGCGTGCTTAACCATCGACAAGCAGAAGGAGATTTGTTGTGACAGTCCTCCTCCATCGAAAGAGCAAATCTGCGAAATGTGGTGCCAAGAGTCTTTGTGAACCTCTTGTTGAAGTGTGGATGGGACGATACAAAGTGTCAATTTTGATACCGTCGCATTCGTCTACTGCGTTGATACGTCTCGCGTTGCAGTGTTGCAAGTATCCAAATCGTTGTAACAATTCGTAATGGGGTGGAGCCTCCCGTGGATCGAATAATAGGGAGATACTCGGAGCTCAGCTCTTGGTAGTCGTGGTCGGGAGTGTGCTTTGGGATACCTTTTGGGTTCGGATCTTGCAGAGCTTTACGGTCCACGGACAGCATTTCAGAATCTTGATTGTCTGCGGGCGTGTAGTGCAGAGTACTAGTACTCCCGCATGTGTTGGCCATGTCCAGCTTGGAACTCCAATGAGAATGAGTAGGGCGCAATGACCATCTCGAAAGCAAGCTAGAAAGTTTCTTGTCGCCGAAGGAATAACGGAACCGGAAGAGTTTCCTCTGTGATGACCCACAGCATGCTTTACCAGGTGTCCACGCATATCAACGTGCTCAAGTATCGTCCATACGGAACAGTAGCTTCTTCGACTGCTCCGAGTCGGAGCCTCCGACAGCTCCAATCTGCGATGATACATGTACACTTGCCGACATCGCAACTCTCACATGAGAGATACACTCCACCTCCATTTTATTGTGCATACATACGCGACCCCTCCTCGATCGATATTCTCCGTTTGCTGCTAGGATTGGGACTTAAGGTGGTGCGTCACGTTCCCGTGACGCTCCTCTGGCCTTCAGGGCCCCCTCGTATCCTCCGCCCGTCGTCGTCATTATGAGCAGCCCGTAGAAGACCACAAGTAGCGGCACTAGTAGCAGCAACCAACGCCGACCAGCCATCGCCTTGACCGAACAAGCCAACCAGACGGGGGGATACCGTACAAATACCTACTCTGATAGATACAAGAAAGCGAGGGACAAGAAGGATATTTCATTACACTAGCTTACTCCGCAGTGACCAGTCATTCAAGTGTCATGTTCAAGTGGCTGGCTAGAAATTTTATTCCGGCAATTCAAAAAGAGTCGAGGTATTACCTGTAGACTCTTCTTTTGCTTTTGTTTTTATTTTGCTAGTTGCAGGTTGATCTTCATTTACGCTTAGTAGACCCTGACGTTCGGACTTGTTATTTCTTGATAAGATACATAATGTAGCCGCCAGTCAGTGCTAAGGCGCCTATAATCGCTAGCGGCTTCAATTGTCCCTTCACAACGAGTAGAGCAGCATTGAGCCTCGGATTCTTGGACACGAACACATTGGCGTTCGCTAGGGCGGGATTTGCCTTAACCATGCTCTTGAGTTTATCGACATTCGGAATCTTCTGCACAAGTGCTTTCAGGCTGGTCACGCCTGGAAACGCTCGCTCTTCGTCTGTCGTTGTCTTGGCGCCCTTGAGATAGCGCCTCAAGTTGCCGATCTCGCGGGCAGAGTCCGGCGCTGAGTTCTCCACCATTGCGGCACCTTCAGCGTCGGCAAGGCTATAGCAGCATGCTGCTTGGATGGAAATTATCACGAGCAGAAAGCAATGGCGACGCATCGGGGTCGATTTTGACGTAGTGAGAGGGAAATTGAGCTCAAGCCGCTCCTGAGAAGGGGCTTTGGGATCACCTTGGGCAAGTCAGGCAGTCCGACTAACGACCAAAAGCAACATGGGGATTTGCAAGTTGAAATCCCGCATCTCGGAGATTCTCCATCGGTGTTGTAACTTTTCAACCAAGTTCGCTCGGTATTGCCATTTTGACACTTACCTGCAGAACACTAAGCTGCGTTCCATGTATTGCAAAACTCTACTAGACAATCACTTTTACAAACACTCTTCGATTTCAACTTGTCCAGTCGACGCGACTGCTCAAAGTTTTTGCAGACAGACGATGGCATCGGTCCCTGGTCCGCCACCATCGACACGAGAGCCTGGACACACAGGCGTGGCATCCGTGCGGTTACGACGCACTTCCGCTGGAAAGCCGGTGGAATCTCCAAAGTCAATCGCTTCGTCGAACCAGGAAATTGGCAATGATGTCCGTAGTCGCAAGGCAGGAGTTAGAACCAACCGCCAGGGACCTCAATTATTCACTTTTCAACGACCACGACGAGAGCAGCTCGAGTCGAGTATAACCATTGCAGCGCTGCAGGAGAATATATCGGCTCTTACAGTACTGAACCAAAAAGAGAAGACATTGTCAACTTCATTAAGGCAGGAAGTGGCGCAACTTGCCGAAGCAATAGCTAAACTTAATGGTAGGGATCGAAATGAGATGTCGTAATGTTTCAACTGACCGGCAAATATGCGCAGAAACCAGAGAAGAGCAAAAGGTGGAAGAAGAGAAGTCTGTTGTGCTTCAGAAGCAGAAGACTATGCGCAATAGTGACGCACGATTGCCTGATATTCACAATGGTTCTATGCTGTCAGCGTCGACGGTAGCATTGCAACAGCATACGCAAATGGAAATATCGTATCAGAGAAAGGTGTGGTTAGCAATAACTGTGGAGGATAGAGAAGCACTGATAAAATGTTGAGTTGTAGGTGCTGTCGCTTGAGAAGAGGTGTCAACACATGACGGAGAACAACAAAAAGCTCTTGTCGAAGATCGAACAACTTGAAAACGCTCAGGCTGAAGCAAATCTTCAACTGGGGACTTTGCAGCAGCATAACGCACATCTTCTGGCCGAGGCAGAGAACTTCAACAGCACGATCAACTCTCAGTCAGCGCTGATCGTTGGACTGCGTTCGACAGTTCACAGGCTGAACGTACGACCTCGGATGAACAACTTTTTCCTTTACCTGACAATCCTAACTGCTTGTGTGACGTCTTTTATCGAGTAGAAAGATGAAAAGCTAGTGGAATACCTTCGCAACACATTGGAGCAATGCCAACGTGAGGTCGACACTGTAAAAAAGCGCGAAAAACTGCTTCAAGACGAGCATACAAAGTTAAAAACATCGACAAACGTGGAGAAAGAAGCGTTGATGAATAAAATTCTGGACTTTCAGCAACATCTTCAACGAAACGATGTTGCTAGTGGAAAGGTTATCATCTTGGAAAAGGAGATAAAAAAACTACAGAAAGACAAAAAGGCATTACAAGTCGACCTCGAAGGATCCAATTCCCGGTGCAACAACTTACAAGCACACGTCGCTCAGCTCGATAAAATGTCCGAAGAATTTGTGGAGGTATGTAAACTTCCTACCATCATGGCTATGTTTAATACCAACGAAAGTTGTTGCTGAACTGCAGGTGAAGAGAGCGATGGAGAATGAGATTACTGAGATTGAATCAATGCTGAGTGTTACAAGACAAGAGCTTGAGATCTGTAACAAGAAACAACGCGAGGCTGAGGAACGAGCACACAAGGCAGAGGCACATATTGCAAGCTTACAGGACGTAACCAAGTCACTCCAAACAAAAGATGAAGAAATCGGGACTCTAATGCAGACATTGATGCGCCTGGAGGATGAGGTCGAGCAGCGAGACAAGCGATATGCAGGATTACAAGACGAATTACGCAAAGCCAATACAGAGCTGCTAGGAATCAAACAGCTTTCTCAAGATGATACAGTCCAAGCCTTACAGATGGCTCGGCAAAAGGCTGCTACGTATGAAGCGTTGACATTACTGAATGAGGAGAAGAAAGCACTGGAAGAACAACTTCGATTGGATGAAGAGCGTCTAGAAGCGGGACGTGTAGCTCTACAGGAAGCGAAAAGTGATAAGGAGCATCTACAGACCGAGCTAGAAAATCAAGTCTTAACAATTGAAGAGCTGCGGAAGCAGAACAGTACTTTGCAAGACCAGTTGAAGGAGAACAGTACATTGCAAGAGCAGGAGAAGGAAAACAATACGTTGCAAGAGCAGCAGAATGAGAACGATACATTGCCAAAGTCGATAAACAACAACTCCAGTCTTCCTGAAAAATCGGTAACAGAAGTCTCTACTCAGACAGTCGAAGAGGTCATCAACCCCGAGGCTCACGACGAAACTGTTAGTAATCTGGAGAAAGTCACCAACGAACTGGAGAGTCTTCGATCTGAGTTCGAAAAGCTCCAACAGAGCCGCGATGAACTGCAAGACACTATTCAAAACTTACAAGAAACTCAAGATCAGATGGAGGTCGGCTACAAGAAGACAGTGTCTCGAGAAAGATACAAATCCGAGTCTTTTCAGAGCCAACTCGTGCTCTTGCAGAATGAAAATGGAGAACTAAGCGACAAAATTGAGGCACTGTACAAAGATTTGAGAAAGGAACAACAGCTTAACGACGCCCATACCCTGGAGATGACCGAACTCAAACAACGTGTGCTGCCTCGTGAGTCCATCAAGTTACTGCGAAACACTCAAGATTCACTGGAGAAAACTGTAAATTCCCTTCTCGAAGCTGAAAATGCATCAGAAAGCACATTTACATGTCTGCAGTGCATGCAGCTATTTACGCAACCCATGACACTTGCACCTTGTGGCCACACATACTGTGCCGCGTGTTTAACCAAGTGTGGCAGCATAGATGTACCGTCGTCCATCGTGTGTAAAATGTGCGAGTCCGGGATCAAGAAGGAGATGGAGTGTATTTTCCCTAATTACGCCTTGGCGGATCTTACTGCGCGCTTCATATTCCGACAACAAAGCCTGGCGTCGCTCACGACCATGTGTCTCTCACTCCGGAACAGTTTTACACAACGTGGTCCAAATTCTAGTCCAACCGAAAATCCTATCACTGAAGAGTAACCCATAAACCATGAAGCTCGTGACTTATCCGGTTGTGACAACGAGAGATCCACGATGCCTCTTAGGACGGGTGGTGGGCTTCTTGATCTTGTTCTTGTACTCGTCCATGCTCCGTTTCTCCATCTGTCGTTTGACTTGTAACCAGGTAGCGACGGAGCGTTGAATACGACGTACTGCAAAGTACTCGTGTGCCTGGTAGTGAAGGCGGTGATGGCCAGGATGATCGACGGATAGAAGCTTAATATTTCCTATCCCTTCGAGTTCATCATCAATATCCTGTACAAGAACATATCAGTACCCGAATTTGTCAAATTATTGTAAGAATTGATGTGCGTACGTCTTTAACCATCTCGCGGGTCATAGCGAGCAGAGTGTCTGTGAAATACACGGTATCACCCTCGTACATGGGTAAATGTAGAGTACCTGCTCGTTTTCAACATTATAAGAAGTAAGTTTAACATATCCCAAATCCAAATTTTCAGATAGCATAATCTTACTCATAAAATGTAGGAAGGCATTCTTGTCGCCCACAGCTTCGAATTTCACGAGTGGAGGCTCAAGAAGCGCGATGACTGCATATAACTTGACTACAGGGATGAATCCTTTGGCCTTCGGATCCACTTTCGCCCACTTGCTCTGGAATTCACTCAATAATTCGGGGTCAATGAGTGGTTCCTCATCTTCATTTGAGACAGAAAAGCTATCGAGAATCACCGCCACAGTCACATTAAGCATCACGTACGTTCCGAATAGTGTGAAGGAGCAGAAGAACAGATACGCGATAGGGTGTCCACATCCGTTGAGCGGAACACAGTCGTCAGAGTCACTGAAGCCACACATATTAGGGTCATAGGGTGGATCGTCAACACAGCCTTCAGGACTGGAGGCGAAGTCGTGCATACAGTCATCCCAGCTCTCTCCAGTTGCAGCGCGTATCATGAAGAGAAATCCTCTGCCAAAGCTCTGGAAATTAGCGTGCATGTCGATGTTGTCGCTTGAACCCACTTTGGCGAACATTTGAACTCCCATAGTAGCGTAGATAAAGAGTAAGAGAAGGAGAATTGAAGTCACGTTGCTGAGACCCGGCAGAGCCAAGTAAAGAGTTGTCAGGATATGGCGAACGCCCTTTGAAGCTTTAACGAGTCGGATTAAACGAGTTACACGAAACACGCGAGCAAGCACAGTGAAAGCTCGTAGATGGGCTGTCGTCAGTGCCTCAAGTACGATACTTACGAGTGTACCGAGCACGACAAAGAAGTCGAAACGATTCCAGTTATCCTCAAAGTACACAAGTCCATACGCGACGATCTTTAACATTGCCTCGCAAGTGAATATCCCGGCGAATATCTCATTGAGATTATTCACAATCGTAATGTGTATAGTCGACTGTCCGTAGTACTGCGTGGCCATAAGCAACATATTGACAATGATACAGATCATTATGAACCACTCAAATCGTTTGTGTCTTACAAAGAAGAAGACCACACGCCGCACGGGATGTTTGAATGGTACGAAAACCCGCTGAGGACCCACCCTGGCTGCTGCTTTTTGGGCTTTTATCCACTTTTTCTGCTCGGATGTCAACATGAAGGAGTCTCCTAGAGCATCCGTCATTTTGTTAAAGTTATTGATGATGACGCCAATGAACAAATTGACAACGAAGAAGCTGCCGAACATCATGAAGTTAACGAAAAACGCAGCCCACCACATGTTGTAGTCGCGTATCGGCTGCATATCAATGCCGGTTGCATCGATGCACGCTATCATGAGTAAACTCCAGTTCTCCGTTGTCGACATCTCAAAAAACGTGATCATAGCGTTGCCAACATTATTAAAGTTCTGCGGAACGACAGGACCCCAGTCGGCACCCCAGCATCCACACACGTACTTTGACGTTAAAGAATCAGTAGGAAACCCGATACAATTTGTGTTAGCGAACCATTGCTGTTGGTCAAGTGAGAGCGAAGACCACGGCTTAGGATTCACGAGAAAATTCACTTGAGCATCCGACAGCGCGTTGAATACGTCTCCACTACAGGAGTTTAGTCTGCCTTTAAGGTAAGTGACAGCGAAGATACTGAACATGAGGTAGAAGAGTGCACAGATGATCAGTACGTTGAATACAGCGGGAATGGCTTCGATCAACGCGTTCACGACGAGTTTAAGCCCCGGTCTGCGGCTGATCACTCGCAGTGGCCGAAACGCGCGAAAGGCACGTAGAGATCGAAGAGATTTCAATGAATGACGACTACTAGAAGCCTCGGCCAGCATGACTAGGGACGAGATGACAATTACACAGTCGAGAATGTTCCAACCATTGCGTAGATAAGCTCCTTTGTGTAGCACAAGTCCCATGGCTGCGATCTTAACGGCCATCTCACAGGTGAAGATGATTGCAAATACTGTGTCCAAGCGCTTGAGTCCAGTCGCTAACGTAGACTCTGGATTCTGCAGTGGGTTATCAATGGCCAGAGTAATACTCGACACAGTGACGAGACACAAAACAACAGAGTCGAAATACGGATGCACGATCAACTTGAGCGTCCACTGCCGCACGCGACTGTCTTCTGTGAATATGAAGAGAGAAGTACCCTTCAGGCTGCAATCAGCCTTAACTTTATCGCGTTCACCGCTGGGTTCTTCATCCGATTTGGGTTTTGCACCAAGAAACTGGCTGACTTGCCGGATGATACGTGCTAACAGGCTGCTCATGTCGAGTTGTTGTAGCTTTACGATTTCCCAGCTGGATGTAGCTTTCAGTCTCTCTGGAACTGCAGAGATATTAGGTCCTGATTGAACGTGGCTAGTAAGTTTGTCCGGGTTGGCGGGTTGAGAACTGTCGGAGAGTTGATCTTCAAGTTTCGTTTTGTCGAGATTACTATGAATGGCGTTTTTGTCCTCTAAGGTTGGCAGCGGCGTTGGCGTAATTTTTGCTGATGTCAACATTCGTGCGAGATTTTTTACGTTGCGATCCTCGTCTGTGTCGTCAAGGCTGAATTTATCAAGTAGAAGAGCTAAGAAGAGATTCATCATAATAAAGTTACCGAAGACGATCTACATAAATAGCGTTAGTGCATTGGAAAAGGAGAAGAACCCGACAGCTTCAAGGCACTTGCTGCTCACCAGTAAAATTGTGTAAAGACCTGCGAACATGCCGTTGCTTCGAATAACATTGTACATGTCTTCGTTCCAGTTGTCAGTGGTGATTATTTTAAAAACTGTGATCGAGGACCACAGAAAAGTGTCGAAATGAAGTCGAGGAACCTAAAGAAATCAAACCAGAAATTGTCAATAGAAGGATATTCAGAATGCATGCAGAGTACGTAACTCACTGTGCCAGACCAATAGTCGTTTATGTTGTATATCGTTGGATATCCGTTGCTGTCGAATCGCATGGTATTTCCAAAAAACTAGTTTGTGAACATGTTAGGTGTGAAAAAGTCTATAGCACGTCCAAATTCCAGAATGTAATCAACGCACCTGCATGCCCACCAGAGCAAGGACGTAAATGAAAATGAGCAATAGCACCCCGAAATTCGCGATACTTGCAAGGGCACGCCCCACCATCTCAAGTAGTTGTCGTAATGACTTCCAGTTGCGAGCTAGTTTAAACAGACGTAGTAGTCGAAACGATCGCAGCGATGAGACTGAGCCCTTCTTTGGCGGATTCTCGGACAGGAACGACGGTGGCGACAGCGCCATTTCAAGCAATCCCATCAAGACGATAAACGCGTCAAAAAGATTAAATCTGTCGCGTGTGTACAGGTGAATTCCGAGGCCGGCAACTTTAATTACCATTTCAGCGACAAACACACAAGTAAGTGCGAAGTTGATGATCTCAAGGTCAGCGTCCATCGTATCTGACACCGGATAATGGTCCAAAGAGAGTACAGCAGTGTTGGCAAAGATGGCACACATGACGAATGTTGAAAACACCGGGTGCGAGGCGATGTAGTACAGCAACGGGATACGCGGTTTGAAACGTGATTGTTTCTCTGGAAGTTTTTTCAGTGCAAGTGTAGGATTGCACGGAGGTTCTTCGATGTTAAACTCATCGGAGATGACTGCAAGCATCAAGTTCATGACGAAGATAGAGTCGAAAACCACGAATGCGAGGAAAAACAAGACTGCGATGGTTGGTTGTGTCGAGTCCATGCACATGTACATGATATTTGTCCATCCTTCCGACGTTATGACTTGAAAGAACGTGACGGCTGAGTGGCCTATACTATCAAACGTTGTCAGACCATAATCGAGTGCATCTTGGTAGAGAGCGTCGTCCATTACGATACTGTTAAGAAATCGCGGATTGCCGAAGACGTCGTAATTTCCTCCACAAGTTTGTCCAGAAACGCACTGGTGATTGCCAGAGTAAGAAGGTCTAGCACAAAGTTGCGTATCGTCTGGGTTGACAGGCCAAAAACATGGCTGTGCAGTGTACCAAGGCGATGTTTCTTTGATAAAATTTCCAGATTCGACTTCGAGAAGTGGGGCATTCAGACATCGATAAGCCTCTGGATTGGCGAGCACAGATGATAAATAACCGTTTGAAACAGGCCAAATGCCGTGAGGATTTAGCTCGTCGACTGGTATTCGCACAGGAAACTCGGTAAGTCGACATCGTCTGGTCATATCGCCACCAAATAACTGGTTTCCGAGAATGGAAAACATGAAAAAGAGAAATATTTGGAGCACCACGACGTTGCCTAGTGCAGGGAGAGCTTTAAGTAATGCTGAAATAATCACGCGCATACCCGGGATCATCGATAATGACCGCAGTGGACGCAATACTCGGATCGTTCGGATCACGGAAACATTCGGAATGGTCGGTAGAATTGCAACCAAGCTGGAAAAATAAAACGCACAAAACATTAAAATTTAGCACAATCGCTGACAGAGGTCAGTAGTTTACCTTGCTATGACGACTACGAAATCGAGAGCGTTCCACGGATCCCGCATGTACGCGCCTTTGCTTCTTACGAAGCCCATAGCTATGATTTTCAGCAAACACTCGGCTGTGAAAATGGAGGTGAACGGGATCTCCGATAGGTTCACGATCTCGTTTAGAAATGAAGTGGCCGGGACAATAGAACCGTCGCGATACGTGAATCCTGGGCTTGCTGGATTCAAATTCTTGTCGACGACTGAGAAATCCGACAGTGCTAGGATAATCGAGTTGAGAACGATAGCTAAAACGATGAAGCGGTCAAAGAACCGATGTGATACGAGTAGAATAACTCGCCGTCGAAGCCAATGATCTCTAGAAAATAAATTGAAAAAGGCAAAATCTGCACCAAATCTCTGTAGAAACAGCATGTAGAACAGAAAGGTTAGAAGCTAGCAATGAGGTTACATTATGAAGTACACTTTAGGAGCTCACCTTCATTTCAAAGATGGCATTTCGACGACGGCGATTTCGTACAGGAGGTGTAGCTTCTACTCTTTCGCTCTTGATATTTGGTACATTTTCGGTGTAAACCTGAGATTTGGAGTGTTGCTTGGCCAGTGGCGGATCTAGCGTCGCCTCCATGGGAACAATCTCGTTGCGCGACGGCATTACTCAGGTGAACCTGGACATGTACTGCTTGAGTAAAAATACTACACACAACATCCGACTTTTCACCCGTAGGTTACGACCACTCAGAATTACGGGTCGTAAGTTACGGGTAATTTTTAGATACCGACCACCGAAATGTAGCCACCTGGAAGGTTATCTCTTGTCTCTTGAATAGCTACACAATCCCCACTACACGAAACATTATCGATGCGATCGCACGGAGCCCGGAATGTCTGCGCGGCTCTAGCAAAGCGAGAGGTGGTGGGACGACCTACCTGCAAGCTAAATCTACCGCGCCAAACTCTCAGCTTGCGACAGGTATTTCGCCAGGAACAAGGGGGCGTTCTATTAGGCTTTTCCAGCGATGGGAACTTCCTCGGTATGATAAAATCGAACAATTTTTAGCGATGTATGGCTTATATCACTAACGTTAAACAGTGTATTGCGTCACTTTGGGCGCGCACTACGTGGTGCAATGGAGACGATTTAAATTCCGAGATTTTTATGGTTGGAGAGAGGACGGAGAAGTTCCTCACATTGCGTTCAAGCTTTCAGTGGATGGAGGGGCTACCGCCTACGGAGTGAGCACCCTTTTGGAGGTATGGCAGACTGTAGACGATAATTTGGTACTCACCGTTACGGCTGAAGGTTTGACGGAAGATCGAGAGATTTCTCGACTATGTCGAGTGGTGGTGGCTCCGTCGCCTATGTTCGACGATGGCGGGCTCGCTGTTTCGGTGACGAGCTTACGTTTCGAGTTTGGCCAGCACGTAAACTCACAGAAAATGGAGAGTTGGCAGTTGATGCAGCTTGTGAAGGGGAGGACGAATGTCTACCACTTGCTCGTTAATACTGGGACTGCGGTGCACGTTCTCGTTTTTCATACTTGGAGAAAACGATACAGGCGAAGTGAAACGGAGTCGCAGTTTGAAGAACTAATTGGAGTGACTCCAAGAGGTCTGGGGATCTCATATTTCATTCAAAGTACGTTCTGCACGTTGCAAGCATGTGTTGTGGTAATAACTCAGCTGAAGCTACTTGCAGATGCTTGGTATTATCCATCAGTTTCTCCGATCAAATTCCAAAAAGTGACGGAATGTCGGCCCTACAAGGCAGATGCGGTCTTCAAGGCAGGCGTTACGGTAGATTCGACTGCCTTGATATCCCAGACTGAAGCTCCTCTCTAACGCCTTGTGCTGTTACAACCAAGTGCATCTGCCAGCATCTTTTCGACGTCGAGCGATTTCTCGGAGAGTTTTTGGAGACATTCAAACCACTTCAACACTATAACCTCATAGATTATGATTTGCGACTTGTTCGGGTACGTTCACTACAGTCCATGAATGTGTATAATACTAATGATTTTTTTAATGGCTGTGTTTCCTCGTTGAAGGCGAGCACAATGGAGAAAACAGTATTTATGACCTGCGTTATGGCACTTACACCATCGAATACTAACCCTCCACGGCCAAGCACTCAACATCTCCGAGCGGCTCTTTTCCTCAGCTTAGAGCTTTTCACTGGAATTTACCACGTCGTTCGAGTATTGAAAGTGCCTGGAAATGGAGACCTGCGTCAACTCGCACAAGTCGTCGCTCGGAGATTTCTGGCGGACTTGAATACTCGAGTACCACCAGACCCAGTTGCGACGACATGGGATAACGAGGCCTTTATACGTGAGGAATCCCTTCAAGAACTTAACAATCCGGTCTATCCACTCTCAATATCGAGAGCCTGATAACAAGAGAACATACTAGTCGAATGGACTAGAAATCGTTGTTTACATGTAGGACACGAGAGCTAAGCACATTGCTACCCAGTATTTCCTTTTTTTTTCATCGAGGTTACGGTCATTACGTCCCCAGCTCGGCACCACAAAACTGTATAGTGTCCCTTATTCACGCGACACGAATAGGGGGCCGAACACCAGCACCGTCGTGGACAACAACTTGATCACCACGTGCAGCGCAGGCCCAGCCGTATCCTTGAACGGATCACCCACTGTGTCGCCAGTGACAGCAGCCTTGTGCGCCTCGCTGCCTTTGCCTCCGAAGTTGCCCAACTCGACGTATTTCTTGGCGTTATCCCACGCGCCGCCCACGTTGTCGAGGAACAGAGCCATCATGATGCCGGTCACCGTACCGAACATGAGGTAGCCAGCTAAAGCCTCAGCTCCCAACAGTGGCTTCCCTTGGTACTCACCAATCTACCAAAAGGAAGACAAGGTTAGCATCACTACACAAGAATGCCAACAAACCTTCTGTACAATAACGTACCACACGGAAGATAATACCGACAGAGACTGGCATCAGCACAGCAAGCAACCCTGGGAAACGCATCTGCTTCAATGCAGCCTCGGTGACAAGCGCGACGCAAGTGCGGTAGTCGGGCTTCGCCTTGTACTCCATAATTCCCGGGTAAATCTCAAACTGGTGGCGCACTTCATTGACAACCTCACCAGCGGTCTCGCCCACAGCAGCAACAGCAAGTCCAGTAAAGAAGAAGACCATCATAGTACCCAGCAGACCGCCAACCAGGACCTCCACCGTAGCAATATCCACCGTCTTAAACTCGCGACCAGCGAACTCTGAGAACTCGTCCATGAAAGCGCCGAACAGCACGAAGCAAGCAAGAGCAGCCGAGCCGATCGAATATCCCTTAGTAATAGCCTTTGTCACATTGCCAGCAGCATCCAGCTTGTCCGTAGCATCACGCACGTAGTCCGGCTGACGACTCATCTCGGCGATACCTCCAGCGTTATCAGCGATGGGGCCGTAGTTGTTCATCGCCAGCACAAACACCGCCGAAGACAGCATTCCCATAGTTGCTACAGCCGTTCCAAAGAGTCCAGCGTGGCGGTTCCCCACTCCTCCAATACCTGAGCTGGCACCCAAGTGGTAAGCGGATATCACAGCGAAACTCACCATAAGAGTCGGCACAACAGTAGACTTCATGCCTACAGCCACACCAGTAATGATATTGGTGCCATGGCCTGTCGTGCTGGCCTTCGCAATGCTACGCACAGGCGGGTGAGCGTAGTCCGTGTAGTATTGTGTCGACTTGACAAACACGTAAGCTGTGAGCATGCCGACAACACCGCAGAGGAAGAAGTTCATCCATGCCGAGGGGTATTCCGGTGTGTAAAGCAGCCAACGTGTGGTAAAAGCAAAGCCAACCAGCGCCAATGAAAGTGAGACATTGTAGCCGGTCTGTAGAGTAGCCATTGGGTTGTGATCGGGACGGGAAGCTTCAACATCAGAGGGAGCTCGCACCATGAAGATCCCAGCGCTGCTCACAGCAATGTCGAAGGCGTGTACGACCACCGGGAAGAATACAAAAGCCACAGGATATGGCAGTTGAGCCTCACGCGCCAGAGTTCCACCTAGAATCATCGCTCCAATGATCTCTGCAGCAACAGACTCGAACACATCAGCACTGCTGCCAACACAGTCGCCGACCATATCTCCCACCAAGTCAGCAATGACCGCCGGGTTACGTGGATCGTCCTCTGGAATCCCCACTTCCACTTTGCCCACCAGATCAGCTCCCACATCAGCTGCCTTAGTGTAAATACCGCCACCAAGCTGCATGAATAGCGCCACAAAGGACGCTCCGAATCCATAGCCGACCATCAGCAACGGGATCTCCGTCGGACGAAGCACCGACCCGAACAGCATGTACAGCATCACATACAGTGTACTGACTCCGCCGACACAGAGCGTGATGTCCAATACAGCTGAGAAAGCTCCTCCTCTGAAGCAGACTAGTAGCGCGTCTCCATAAGATCCACGAGCCGCACTGGCCACGCGGATATTGGACCTGGCCGAGACCCACATGCTCACGTATCCTGCTGTGGCGGAGCATACAGCACCAATGAGGAAAGCTACAGAGGATACCAGACCGAGCGTGAAGTTGCCGAGCTTCTCCACACCAGAGCTCAACGTGCTGCTGGGTCTTAGTGCGTAGCTGAAGAAGATTAAGCCTGCAATGGCCACAGCGATGCGTGCGATGGCCGTGTACTGGATTTTGAGAAAGCCCTCGGCTCCCTGACGGATGGGCGTGGCTACTTCCTTCATCTCGGTCGTGCCTGCGTCCTTGGATAGCACCCAGTGTGACAGGTAGAGCGCGAATACGGAGCCGTAGCCGCAGATAGTGAAGACCAGAAAGATGGGGCGGAAGCTGCCACCGAACAGCAGCAGCAGCGCTCCTATCACCGAGATACCGATGAGCGGAGGCTGTAGATCCAGTGTACGGGCGTAAGCCAAGGCCGCAGACGCACCCGACCCCATTTCTTCGAGGTCTGGCTCACTGTGCAGCGGTGCAGTGTCCGACATGCCGAACTCGATGTCAACCTGTGTCTTCTCGTGCATGACGCTGGCTGTAGGCGGAGTTCAGAGAAGCGGAGAGCACGGAACGAATGCCTTGGGAACAGAGAGAGCGGAGTGCAGCACCGGAAAGCAGTGGGGATCACGTAGCTGGCGTCGACGTGAACGGTCCGACCTCTCGATTGCTGCTCTTTGACTGACACGCGTGCGGATCAGAATCTGACCTGCTGTTTTCTACCTTGCAATAGTGACTGACTTGAAATGACTAAACTGTCACTATAACGAGGTAACTTCAACCAGCTGTCCTAGAAACGTTCCTGATTGGTGCATCCTATCAAAATCGTTTGACGAGTTTGTAGATTAACTTCAAGTTACCTTTGGGCCCGCGACCGTCACTCTTAAATCTGCCACGTCCAGCTCAAGTCATTTGCCATGTTGTCCGCCACCCGCCGCCTTACGCGCTCGTTGCGTCGCCCTTCCCCCCTGGGACGTCGCCTGGAGTCCTCGTTCGCCCCCATCACGGAGCTTTCCGAGGAGGAGACCATGTTCAAGGACACTGTGGCCCGATTCGCGGCCGACGTAGTGGCGCCTAATGTCCGTGCCATGGACACAGCGGGGGAGATGGACCACACCATCACGCGCGGACTGTTTGAGAATGGACTTCTGTCGGTGGAGATCCCAGGGGAATACGGAGGCAGCGAGGCCTCATTCATGAGTCTCTGCTTGACCATCGAGGAGCTGTCCAAAGTGGATCCGGTGGTTGGACTGCTTGTGGATCTTCAGAATACTGTCGTGAATAACGTCTTCCTGGTGGGTGAAAGAGTTATAATATCCTGCTTTATTAGTATATTTTATGCTGATAATTGTGTTGCAGGTGCATGGCACGGAGGAGCAGAAGGAAAAGTATTTGCCGAGGCTTAGCACGGACATGGTACGTGCATGGAAGTTTATGAGTATTGAAATAGTATATTGACATTATACTGTGCTGCAGATTGGCAGCTTCTGTCTGACTGAGGCCGGATCTGGGAGTGATGCGTTCGCACTGAAGACGCGGGCGGAGGCCTCTGCAGATGGCAGCTATTATTCCATCACGGGCCAGAAGATGTGGATCTCCAATGCTGAGTACTCCGGAGTGTACCTGGTGTTTGCTAATGTGGATCCGTCCAAGGGCTACAAGGGCATCACGTGCTTCATCGTGGACCGAGACACTGAAGGACTGGAGATCGGTAAACCCGAGGAAAAGCTGGGCATCCGCGCATCGTCGACGTGTCCCGTCACTCTGACGGACGTGAAGGTACCGAAGGAGAACATTCTGGGAGAATTGGGCAAAGGATACAAGATCGCTATCGGAACGTTGAATGAAGGACGTATCGGCATCGCGTCGCAGATGTTGGGGCTTGCACAGGGAGTCTACGACCAGACAATGCCGTACTTGTTCGATCGCCAGCAGTTTGGCTCGCCAATTGGAGAGTTCCAGGCGATGCAACACCAGTACGCAGAAGCAGCACTCGATATCGAGACGGCGCGATTGCTGGTGTACAATGCTGCGCGTCTCAAGGATGCCGGCCAACCGTTCGTAAAACAGGCTGCTATGGCAAAACTTCATGCCTCGCGTGTAGCAGAGAAGACGGCATCCAAGTGCATTGAGATGCTTGGAGGCATTGGTTTTACCAAGTACTTACTTGCGGAGAAATTCTACCGTGATGCAAAGATCGGAGCTATTTACGAAGGTACCAGCAACATGCAGCTTACAACGATCGCGAAACTCGTCTCCGAAGAGTACAAGAAGTAAATGAAGTCATGATCTAGTACGAGGAAGATGATAAAACAATGCGATTCTGTCACGAAGATTCCAAAACGAAATCAGCCTGTTGTTGGTAAAACTTTCTCTCCGGAGTTTGAAAGGTACCAAACAGAAGTGTACCCGCGTGGCTCTTATCACTGCCTGTGTATTATTCATTCCAAGCCACGAGATAGGAGAAAAAAAAACTTTTCAGACACGAGCGTTGAAGGTGCCAGAGCGTCTAAAAATTACCTACCTGCTCGTCTCAAGTGGTGAGTCAACGCTGGTGAAAATGGCCACGGGTAGTTTCAAAACAGCCTCTTCTTCGAGGGTTTCACTGTTCAAATCGCGATTCATAGCTCCCACTAGAACGCAATGCTGTCGCTGCTACTTGTCTACGCTGCCATCTTTATCCTGCGTTGCACTAATGTGGCCATCGCAGGGAAATACCCGGTGGGGCCTAACAGATTCTTGGGCACCTGCCTCGATTCAGCGTGGGTGACGAAGATGGAAGCTGAGAAGGGAGTCTCCAGCCAAGAACGTGACTCCAGCGGACGACTTGTTCACCCGTTCATGCAGGCAGCACTCAAGTATCCTCGATACACAGTGAGTCATTTCCTTTTCTTAGTTCCTGTCAGGAGAAAGTTGACGAATAGTTTTTCGCTCTTCTCAGGTTGATGATCCGCGAACAGCAGCAGGAACGGCGTACACGGATGCATGTTTGGGAAATGGGGTCTTCTATGGAGCCAACCAGCCATCGGACGGCTCAAGTCGTGGTGAAGTGAAAGGAACGCTTTCCATTGATGTGGGTGACTGGGACTCCCATGTATTGGCTTCAATGGTGGCGGCGGTTGTTGCAGAAGAAGTGGTGAGTTGACAACAGTATATCAATACCAATGTGTTGAACTAAAGTGCTTTTTCTGTTCTAGATTGGCTACAAGGTCTCTCTGAATTATGGCGGCCCGACTGCAGAAATCACGATGCGCATGTCGTCTGCAAAGACAGGAATTTGCACTCCGACCCACTTCAATGTTGAAACTTGGCCCTCCAGCTCCATGTCCAGGCTACGAGTTTACTTCAACGAGAGCTACTTGATCGGTGGCGTTGGATACTTTGGCGGCACTGGACTGTACACCACTCACCAGTTTGTGCTCGATGCGGCCGCGGCAACACCTCCCTACTTCCCGGGTTTCTGGATGGACTACAAAATGACTGATACCCTTATCAACAGACATATTCAAGGCCTCCAAGTACTACCCTCCACCCACTACCCACTGTCCGGACGGCGTCATGGGCTGTATGGATCATTGTGAGAAATCAGAGGCCTGTACGCAGCGTGAAGCTGCTGGAAAAGTGTGTTTGGTCGTCGCTATGATGTATCCGCGATACGATCGTGGCTACTTCCAGGCTGTGGTCTCCAATCTCGGAATTGCTGCCTACTTTTGCTTCATCGGATACGACGGAGTGAACCAATACGCGCACGATGCGGCAAAGAACGGCACCCCAGTGATCTTTATCCATTGGGAGCCGGAAATCTTCCACGTGACACACAAGGGACTATTTGACCGAATATTCCTGCCACGAACAGATCCTGAACGTGTCAAACTGTCGACAGCAGACTACGGTGAGAACGGATACGGTAAGAAGACGAATAACCCCGTGGATGTGGATTATCCAAACCTTCAGCCCATCAAATTTGCTGCTTCTATCGTGAAGAATCAACCCGCAGGCTCACTGTTCTCTAAATTCTCGCTTGGGGATGCAGACATCAACAATGTAATGACTGAGTATGTAACAGTATCTAGCGACACGACTGAACCATCCCCGTATTTTCGAGCGGCATGCAACTGGGTAAAGGAGAATTATAATACGTGGAGTGAATGGGTGGATCGCTTGCCATTGTGTACATTCGAAGATCATATTATCAGTCAAGTGACCGGTTGTGGTAACGATAGCTCTGTGCGTACGATTGACTTTGCGTGGAAGTCACCAAATCCTGGTAACGTATCGTTGCCATACAACTGTGACGGCGGCGTATCTACACTGCCTAGTACTATCGCTACAAGCCGCTCTTGCGACTG